AAAACCGGATTCCCCTTGTTGCACACATCCCCACAGCGGTCCGCGCTTTCCCACAATTCCCTGCCGGGATCACCTGCCTGTGTGCGTGATTATTGTTCGGTCTGTCCACACCACGGGGCAAGGACCGTGTCTGTCCTGTTCACAGTCACGTCCTCGGTTATCAGCATAGCACCTGACACGTAGGAAGGCCTGAATATTTAGTGACTTTGTGAAATCCATGGCCCCAGTGATAGGGAGCAGAGTGATGCGTTGAAATACATGTGGAGGGTACGCTGAACTGTACATATTCTCGCTCTGGTGTATAAGGGGACATCCAGGATTTCGGGGAACATTATCTGAGCCAGGTATCTTTCATTGTCAATCAGTACGAATAAGCCTTAAGGCTTGCATACCATGGTCTTAAGTTTTGCTAATAGTAGAAACCAAGTCCTTTACGGAGACTAGATGGGTTTTGCAAAAGCAAATCAATCCTTGCCACGGTGAGACACATGTCTGATTTCAGAGACCTTGGGAGGAAGCGGTCTTTACAGCTGGGAGTAGAATCCCTCCATTGTCCTATTCCAACCCCACCGCCGGCCAACAACAACGCGCCCCTTATGCAGACCCAGCAGACTGGAGAGAAGGCTGGAGATTCAATGTGGTGGACGGAGAAAGGTGGATGGGACACTCTCTGGCACAGGGCAGGATTCTCGTTCCCTGTCACCTCTGTCCCCAAACACGTCTTCCAGGGGGCAACACTCACACCCACGTTCTGCACGACTGATGATGGGGACAGCTACAAGTTCAACGACTCTATCTCAGGATGAGGCCGCACTTAAAACCGACCAGATGGCTGGCGCCGACAGGTCAGCTCATTCTCCACTCTGTAGGCCAGGCGGGTGCGAGGCCATTCTCTCTGGAACTGGAGCTCAGGAATCACAGCAAGGAGAGGAACGGAGCTTGTGAATTGCCTCTGAGTCCCCATCAGCCTCCACGAGGATGGCCTGGCAAGGAAATGTGAGTGTCCGTGGCCAGGGGAGCCAAGCACCTCTCCGGCCTGTGCCCAGACGGGCTGGGCCTGCTCTTGCCCCCGGATGGAAACGACTCTGTGGGTTTCCACCGCCTCCAACCCCCTCTGCTGACACTCTTCTTTTAGATCTGTTCGAGCCCTAATCAGCTCTCCCTCGATCTCGTGGCCCCGGAGGCCGGCTGTGTCTTTGTGCGGGTTTGCCAGTCTCTGCTCGGTCTCTTAGCAGTGAATTCATAATCCCACTTGCAGAGAACAAGCAAGCCCCTCTCTTTGCAAGTCTTCTGAGGACAGATCCCTGCGTGCTGCCCAGTCCCCTCACTTGGCACCAGAGGCTCTCACTGCTGTCATGATGCTGTCGCTGACCTGGGAGCTGGGGGCCAGCCCAGCAGGATGAAGGCCTTTGGAGCTACCCCTTCTGCAGAAGCCAGCAGGAAAGCCCCTGCTCCCAACCACATGGCCTCACCCCTGCAGCAGTGTGACATTGCAATGAAAAAGGAAGATGAAGTGACTCTTGATGAAGAGGTCTCTGGGAGACTGGATTCATTTAAACTTGTTTTGTTTCTCATTCCTTTTCAGATGAGGCCTTCTATTCCCCATCTTTGCAAAACCTGGACAAACAGGATTTCAAGCATCGGCTTAACTACTGAATCATGATTTTACAAGTCACCATTCGGTGTCATGGGGGACAAAAACCCAACTCACATAGGCTTATATGTAAAAGCGGGACTTCATTGGCTAACAAAACTGAAGGGTGGAGAGGCAGTTCCCAGCGATAGATGTGGATGGTTCCAGAACCTCAAGTGACGGCATCAGGTACCCGCACTCTTTATCTCTGAGCTCAGATCCCCCCCTCAGGAAGGCTTGCTCCTGGTAGCCTCAGCATACACAACATCAGCCCAACACACTCAGCAGAAAAGAAAGCCCCTCTCTAATAGTCCAGCTAGGGTTACCAGTCTCTGCAAATACTGGGGACCCACTTATACGAAAAAATTATTCCTTGTTGATCTGAAATGCAAATTCTGTACTTTTTCTGGAGCACAGGTCCCAGGACTGAAGCTGGCCAGTTTGAAACACATACCATCCCAGACCCAGGCGCTGTGGTCAGGAGGATGGGTTATGCCAACCGGCAGGCCAAGGTCACCTCCCTATCTTTGGAAAGGGGGCAGCATGGTCAGCCCTCTGAGTATCCATGCCCCGACAGTGGGAGATGGGTCCCCTCCCAAATAACTGGGATGCTAACCCTAGAAGAAGGGGAAAGAAGCCTGCATACGTGAAAACAACCCATGTCCACACAGTGATCCGGAAGGTCCCAGACAATAGTGAAAAGTATAAAACTCCACGGTGGCTTTATGGCACACCATTTTTCACACCGTTCCTTCCTTGCCATGTACACTCCTGTTTGGCTGGCCGAGCAGGTACTAGAATCCCTCCCTATATGAGTTTGCTATCGCCGCCATGGCAATGGGGAGCTTAAGCACCAGACAGCTATTTTCAGACTATACTTCTGGGGGCTGGAAGTCCAAGGTCAAGATGTTGACAGGGCTGGTTTCTTCCGAGGCCTCTCTCTTGGGTTTGCGGATGGCTGTCTTCCACTGTGTGCGTCGTGTGTCTGTGTCCTAATCTCCTCTTCTTAGAAGGTCACCAGTCATATAGGATTAGGACCCACGCTAATGACCTCATTTTAACTTAATTACCTCTTTTAAGACCCTTGCTCCAGTGAAAGGTGAAATAAAATGGAGTCACTTGTGTCAAGGGGTTTTACAAAGGGAGCCAGGAGATCATTAAGGAGGTAGGCCTTAAGCACATCCTCACTGGGTAGAACCCCTGCACCTGGCCAAACCACAAATATGCCAAGGACTCTGCATGATCACCTGCAGCTGGCTATAGTAATGGGCTTTTGCTTAGTGATAGCCTCGGCAACCAATTATGTCTAGCCAACATTTGCTTTCTGCCACCGACACCAATCAAAATTCTTTGTAAACAACCTATGCAAGCATTCCCTCGTGTCTTTGGAAACCCAACTGGGAGGAGCGGAGGAGAGGACGAGCAGATCCCAGGACCCTGACTCATGCGACACAATTTGGGCTGCGACCCGAACCTGTGCCCCGCAAATTACAATTAGGGTCACAATGTCAACATATGAATTGGCACGGGGATGCAATTCAGCCTAAAACGCTACCCTCTCCTTCATTTATTTATTTATTTTTAGGTAAGGAATTGGGCAGTGAGGGTGGTCACGACTTGTGCCCAGTCCCAGGGCTGATTCGGCGGTGGAACTCACTAAGGAGCCATGTCCTCTGCCTGGGCTTTATCCCCAACATGTAGCCAGCCCTTGGCCAGCCTGCATGCTCCCTTCCCAAAAAGCACTCAGCAAATCCACCCTCCTGAGCCCTGCACTCAGCACCGGGCCAGGCACCCAGCAGGTGATGTTCTTGAAATAAGCATTCCTTAAAAGGAATGAAACAGGAAAAAAAACATCCCTGAAGCATTTTAGGAGATTTAGCTAAAAGGAGAGGAGGACAGGAGCACGTGCTCATGATTTGAAGTGATAAAGACTCCTTAGAACAGCAAAAATGATGAGGCCTATGGATGTGTAAATGAGCCTGGGGAAGACTAATCAGAGGGTAAATTACAAAACAAAAAAAGACCCTAAAACAAGTGAGAGGGGAGAACAGTGAATATTTCAGTGTCTTTTAGTTCATAAGAAATTCATGAGCCACGCGTGTGGAAATTTTGTTGGTTTTGGTGGTGGGAAAGAATTGTAAATATGTATAATATGTAAATACCTTTTATAATAAAAGCCCATGAAGATAAATGAGCCTGTCTGCAGAAAAGCTGGGAGCTGTGTAAGATGCCAGAATTAACTGTCCTCACTAAGAAATTACCATAATGCTTACGGGGCACTGAAAGTTCCTCCCACTCTGGAAAGAAATGCATAAATACTAATCAGAAAATGCACACAGACCCAGCGCCTCTTTCTTTCTCCACCACCCTCCCTCCCCAAATCTCTCTCTTTTTTTTTTCATGTGAGGAAGGCAGCCTTGATGACCAGGCAGCAAAGACGGACTTACCGGGTTCAAATATGACCTCCTTCCACCACCCACGCCTTATGCTGAAAGTGGACTCCAACCACCTCCAAGCTGACCTCAAACTCTCTAACTGATCGCGTTCTCCTTTCTAGCTTATCTCTCAACTGGGGCAAAAGACCCTGCCGCAAAGCACCCGGTGATGGGAACCGAAGCACCGGTTCAAGCAGTAAGGACTGCCCGGAGCCAGCAAGACCCGGCCCACGACTGACCCCAAGACAATGACCCACCCGACCTGCACGCCCACCTGCACTGCACCAGAACGCGCACACGCATCCCTGTCCCTCACTTTCCTTATGTAAACCTGGAAGGGTTTTCAGCACTTTGGAGCCAGACTTTGAGTCTGGGGTCTTCCCGGTGTCGGCCTCCCTGAAATAAATTCCTTTGTTTCCCCACCACTCCGCTCCCTGCCTTTGGAGTTTGTCAGCGGAGTAGTGACCAAATCTGGTCTGTTTGGGGCCCCCGGAGCCAGGTGCTCTGCGCCCCCGCTACACTGCGATCTTGGCCAAGTCATCCAGCCGCTCTGGGACACGCTCTCCTCGTCTGTGAAATGGGGACACCACACCTTCCTTCCCCACGTTTTGGGGAACTCTAATGGGAGAAGTAGTAAGGCTCATGTAGTGCCATCTCCCTACCCGGCGAGCGGCTGCCAGCGGCCACTCAACACCTGGGGACCAGAGAAACTGGCGCAGGGCAGGTCAGGTCCCAGGGTAAGCAAGTGGCTCAGCTGGTGCGCGCATCCCCGCTCAGGCGCCCGCCGCGCGCCAAGCCCCGCCCCATCTCGACGCCGAGCCCAGTCCGAGCCCCGCCTCCAAGCCATCACCACGCCCTATTCCCGTCCTATCCCCGCCCCACGCCAAGCCACATCCCCCGGTGCCCCGCCCAGTGCCAAGCCCCGCCCCGAGCTGTCGGAGCCCATGGCGCCTGCGGCGGGGAGCTGGGCCCCAGTCCTTTGGCGGGCCTGTAACTGGCTCATGGCCGCGTTCTTCGCGCTGGCGGCCTTGGTGCAGGTCAGCGCCCCGGCCCCGGGCGGCGGGCGCCGGGCCTCGAGCTCCGCCCCCGGGCCCGACGCGCGGTGTAGACTAGCGCGGCCCTTCCCGGCCGCAGGGCGGGCCGTGTACGCGGAGGACGGAGATTGGGGGTTACGCCCCGGGGCCCCCAGCCCATGCCCCGGCCGAGACGCAGGTGTCCACGTGACCGCCGGCCCCATCGCCCGAGCCGCGTGCTGGGAGGAGCGGAGGAGAGGACGAGCAGATCCCAGGACCCTGAGATCGTCAGGGGACCCAGCCTGGTTGATGGCCGAGGCCAGGCGGGAGGCAGACAGAATCCCCGGTGGCGCGGGTACCCTCCCAGGTTTGCTTTGGGACCTCCTTCGTAAGAGCTGTCCTTAAGACTGGAGGCCCTTACAGTACCTTTGTCAGACTTCTGTGTGGTTCTGGACACAGTCGTGTGGCTGTGCTCAGCCAGAAGCCCCCTCGACCACCATGATCTGCTAGACTAGGTCTTTTTCCCATTTTGTATCCTCGCTGCCTAGTGCAGCGTCTGGCATGAAACACATCACTAGGATGGATCCAAGAGCAGACCAAACGGAGGGCTGGAGCACCACAGAATGTCTGCTAATGCCTGATGTTTTGTCATTCCAGGTAAACGATCCAGACGCAGGACTGTGGATGGTGAGTATGAGCTGCTTTCCTCCGTTTCCAGACACTGCGGAACGGCACGAAACACACAGTTTTATCTATTTGGCCCGCTTCCCTGCGTTTTGTACATAAAAACTTAGAAATCAGATCATTTGTAAGCCCTTTTCCCTAAAATATCCGGGGAGAGGGATCAGAGTGGTAATGTAATGTGTGTGTGAGAATTCAGAATCTTACAGAAACATGTAGGGGCCTTTTGGCAGTATTCCCTTTGAATAAAAATGGGCCAACTGAGGACACTTTTCTGAAGACACACAGTAGACCTCCTAAAGTCAACTGAGCCATTCCTCATGAGTTTTTTTTTTACCCAGAAACTCCAACAAACACTTGACCAGAAAATGGCAGGCTTTGGGTTTGCAGTTCTTCTAATTCAGTGAGTTATGTTTATAAAAAGTAACTAAAGCCCATAAAAATCTACAGAATACATTTAATCAATGCTCTGGTTGAACTATTTGGAGGAGGGGGAGATCATTCTGTATATTTTCTGAAATGTCTGGATTTTGCCCAGTTTCTTTGAAAACAGGTACATAAGGGGCGCCTGGGTTGCTCAGTTGGTTAAGCGACTGCCTTCGGCTCGGGTCATGATCCTGGAGTCCTGGGATCGAGTCCCACATCGGGCTTCCTGCTCAGCAGGGAGTCTGCTTCTCCCTCTGACCCTCTTCCCTCTCGTGCTTTCTATCTCTCATTCTCTCTCTCTCTCAAATAAATAAATAAAATCTTTAAAAAAAAAAAAAGAAAACAGGTACATAAGACTGTGCAGTATCACCAATGAGATGATTTTCTGCTTTGGAATAATATTGACTGTGTACAGATTAGCAACAAATGAAAGCATCTGGATCTGTAATGCGGAATTCTGGTCAGTGTTTTAAGTGCAGTAGAACTCATTCTGACATTGCTTATTGTCCAGATTCACATGCCTTTGCATCAAATCAAATTGCCTCTTCCTCAGCACTCTGGCCTATATCCTGAGTTCCAAATATTATTTCCCTGCAGACAAGTCTCCAATACCCAGCTTAATGTAGAATTTCCAACGCTGACCCCTCCAACATCCCAAACTCCTACAGCGTCTTTCCCTCCTAAACCCCCTCCTCCTCCTGACTCACTCCTTTCTGTCAACAGCAGAATCATCCTCGGGGTCATCCTTGCTCCAAACCACAGGCATCTCTAACATCTCTCGGTTCCTTACCACCACCTTTGAAATCCTTTCAAAAAATAAAATGAAGAACAAAGCAATCCAGCAAAACCCAAGCTAGGTCTAACTGCTCATCTGTACGGTATGTGTCTACTTTACCTCCCACTTCATGCTTAGGTGACACAGCATGAATAATAATAGACACCATGTCCTCACAGACATCCTACCTCCTCGCCAGTTTCACTCTCCATCACCTCCCACGTGGACTCCTGTAGTAGCTTCCTAATTCTTGGAGCTGCCTCTAATCCCCTGCTCTCCTTGAACAATTTCCACATTATCACTTCCTGCTTCAAAAACTTCCCTCATTTCCCAAGATCACTGAGTTACAACTCCCCAAGTTGGCACTCAAGGCCCACCACAGTGTGGCTCCAATCCACCTTCCCACCGTGGTCTTGGAACCCGATCCACCTATAATACTACTGTGTCTTGCCCCTAGAATTCCTGTATGTCCTACCCAAGCTTCCAAGTTCATCTGAAATGCTGTGTCCCTCAAAAACTCCCTCTCCCTCTTTCCGATAGGTTCCAACCATCCTTTCTCTGAACCTTTAATGCTAACACATTCTGCTTTATATTCGAGTTGGTTCTGTACATGCCAGCTCCTAGGAGACTAGGGACCAGTTCTTCCTTCTTCTTGGTGGTCCTCAGGCAACCTAACGCAGAGCCTTCCTATGGCAGCCCTTCCGTATTGACTCTTGAATGAAAGCATGCACAAATGAGCCAATACTAAGTTAACGGTGCCTGACTCATTTTCAAGTCCCTTACTTCATCTTGCTCATGGAGGATGCCTGTATCAGGATGCATACAGGAGCAAGTAACAGAAAATCTGACTAGCATCAGGTTATAACAGTAGAGTATCTCACTTAACAAGAAGTCCAGAGGCAGCTGCTTAATGGCCAACAACGTCATCAAAGACCTGGGCTTTCTGGGTTCCTTCTCTGCCACTTCCAATGTGTGGGCAATATATTCTCTCATGTCTACAGAGTGGCTGCCGCAGCTCCAAATGTCAGGCCCAGACAAGTGCATCCCAAGTAGGAAGAAACAAGACAGGAGCAAAACATTTTTTCCTCCCATGCTTTCTTCCCTTTTATCAGGGAGGAAACGTTATCCAAGAAGCCCTTCAGACAGGCTGCTGTTCAGTGTGTGCATACCAATACAGTTTAAGGTCCGGGATTCATCCTGCTTGGTCAGTGTCCCTGCAGAGTGGTTGTTAAGATGCCCTGAGTATCAGCCTTGCCCCTACAAGACTTCTTACATTTTATGGCTGGAGCATGATCACCCCTAGCTGAAGATGCTGGGAAAACAAATTGGCTTTTTCTGCTTTTACAATGGCAGGTGGACAAGGGAGAGAGACATGAAGAATGAATGCCACGGGGGGGCACCTGGCTGGCTCAGCCGGTAAAGCCTGCGACTCTTGATTTCAGGGTTGTGAGTCCAAGCCCCATGTTGGGTGTAGAGATTACTTAAAAAATAAAATCTTGGGACGCCTAGGTGGCTTAGTCGGTTAAGCGTCTGCCTTCGGCTCAGGTCATGATCTCAGGGTCCTGGGATCGAGTCCCTCATCGGGCTCCCTGCTCAGCGGAGAGCCTGCTTCTCGCTCTGCTTGTGCGCACTCTCTCTCTCTCTGACAAATAAATAAATATATTTTTAAAAATCTTTAAAAACAACAACAAAAAAGAATGCCATGGTACTCAAGAACTATATAGTGAATTAAATATTGTAAATAAATGATACTCTAGGTTTAAAAAAATACACCAACATAAAATAAAAGTCCATTATAAGTGGGTTCTACGGAGTTCACTATTGAGTATGCTGTGTATTAGTTTACCTTGTATACTAGAAACCATTATTTTCAGTCTCTTGGTCCTCAAAAAGAATTTTTTTAATCTTATTCGAGATAGAGAAAAGCATTTAAGGATTAAGATGCCACAACTGCCGTGAGAAACCACTGTTTAGTTCAAAGGGTTGTTTTGTTCATATGTTTACGATATAAAGAAATAAGAAGGTCTCAGACCCCTTAATCTGTTAATGACAGATATCTGATACATTTGAGTACACATTAAAAAAAAAAAAAATCCCTGCCGAACATTTCTTACAGAGAGCACAGGTAAATGTATGGTGTGTGTGCAACTTCTCTCTCTCTCTCTCTTCCTCTCTTTCTCAGTGGCTAGTCGTGCAGGTTTTCATTAGGGGATAACTATCCCCTTACTGCTCCAAGTATGGACCTCAGAACAACAGCATCCCGTGAGAGCTTGTTAGAAAAGCAGAACTTGGGCCACACCCCAGACATCTAGAATCAGATCTGCATTTTGACAAGCTTTCCAGGCGACTCGTATACACACTGAACTTTGGGAAGCTCCGGTCTTACCCCTCAGTAGCATGAATGCCTTTACCTGTGAGAGACGACCAGACTTGCAAATGTCCATCCTGGCCATCATTAGGGGTGCAGTAGGAGAGATGAACACAGGGTCTGTAATCCAGATGCCCTCTCTGCCCGGGATCAAGACAGACTTGTTTCTGTGGTGAAAACAAACCACTTAACATACACAGCTCTGACAGCTCCCAAAAAGGGAAGATCTCTGACATGCGCATCACAGTTGATACGGTGAAGCAGCTACGTTTCTTGGAAACCCACCATGCCTCCCGTACACCCACGAGGCCTATCCCACTTGCCTTGTGCCCACAACACACACGCCACAGCAGGTCTGACTACAGTCTGCTTGCTGAGCATGAGGCTTGAAAACGGGGCCTCCACAGGGCCCGCCGTCTTCCAAACTCCCAAACAGCTTCTCAGCAGTTTCCAGAATGAAGAGCCCGATCTTACCTGATGCAGACACTGTCAGTCAACTTTCTGAGGTCCCACCATCTTTCTGTGCTTCCTAGACTCCTCTGAACATCTAAATCGGGCATACTCCCTAACCCCTGTCATCTCCCTCCTTGCTAACAGGTGGTATACATGATACCTGCGGTGCTGAGCCTGCTTGTGGGACTTAACCCTCTTGTCACCGGTATGGACCCTGGATTCTGCATGGACACGCAGCAAACCAGATTTCTGACAATAAGGACAGACTCCCGGGAGAGAAACAGGGCCCTATAGGTCTCCTCGTTTCTGATAACAAGAAGGGCGAATTCTAATCTAGATCACCCTCACCCATCTTCAGGCAGACTTCACAAGGACCTGCCACACCAAGATAGCCTTTTTAGCAGCTCAGAACCCGAGACCACTTACGTTGCTGTAGAACAGGGGTTCTGCAGTACAGCCCACGAGAGAGAGGGCCTTGGTCACCACGCTGATTTCTTACGCCACCACGCTAATGGAAAATCAGCAACAGGGCACGAACCTTGTGTCTCTCTAGTCAGTGGCCCTCAGTGTCCAGTACCACTCCCAGTAACCACTTTCTTACTTCGAATCCATTCAAAACGTGTGTATATGGCCTGCTACTTATTTAGGGAAATGGTTTATAATGTCCATACAAATTTCTAGGTTTTTCACTCATACATCTAGCTCTCCCTAACCTTCCTCTGTACCGTTGAAGTACGTACAGCAATTTACTGCATGCTTTTATATATTTTCCCCTGCTAGGCTGTAAGCCCCTTAAGAGTGGGGCTATGTCTAGCCCATCTTTGCTCAAGCCTCCCTGAAATATGGCCAGGAAGATGGTAGGTATTTAATGCTTGTTGAATGTGAATGGATGGCTCTAAGACAGAGGCTTTATCATACGTTTTCCTGCTCCTTGGAATATATATATATATATATATCCATCCCAGGTGGGTATACAGGTAAAAAAACATCGCTTAAAATAGCTGGTTTCTATTACCCACAGGCTGCTTACCTCAATGCTGGGCAAAACATAGTGGCTCTGCTTTTTAACGGCCCTAAACTCTAAACAAACCTTAAGTTGGACAGTTTTATACCATAGAACAGTGTCTTATAACCAAAAAAAGTACATTTTATGTTGTGTGCTAACATTTTCTTATTAATAGGGACTGTCAGTCCTGATGCGTTACTCTTCACTGTCATGAAAATAGCTTCCTGACCAGTGGGCCGTCAGACTTCTCGGGCCTTAGGAGAAAGACCAGTGGTTCCCAGCTGGGTGGCGAAAACTCTTGTCCCCTGGATGCACGGGCTCCTTGTACAGGTGCCTGGAACTCTTGTCTGCATCTTTAAGGTGTATTAGTTCGGGCTCCATTAGTTGCAAGCAAGGAAGAAACTCAACTCAAATGGGCTCTGAGCTGAAAAGGAGACGTACTGGGACACCTGACTGAGAAAGTCAGGGGTGGTGCTGGCTTCACACGCTGCTGGTGGCTCAGAACTTGAGCTTTCCTGCACGTCGCAGTCCGACCATGTGCCACTCTGACGTCAGTCCTGGGCTCCTCGATGGTAGCCCGGCAGCTCAAAGTTCACTTCTTCATGATGCTCCATCCAACAGAAGATAGAACCTGCTTCCCAGATAGTTCCGCAGAAGTCTCAGAATTGAGCTGTGCTTCCTGATCTGTCATCTGTTCATCCAGAGCCAAATCACAGTTGCTAAAGGGATAAATGCCAACTAATCAAGCTAAGGTCCAATGGTCTGGGACACATGGCCTGGGTGTGTGGGAAGGGTGGCTCCGCAAGGAAAATAAAGGGTAGTTGTCATAGAAAGGGGACACGTTGGACAACAAAACACTAAACGTCCACCTAAGTTTATTCCAACTGCTTTAACCTCTGTGATGTCCCTCAAAACAAAACTTAAAGAAACCCCAGCTTTTTTTTAAGAAGGCTCCACACCCAACGTGGGGCTTGAACTCATGACCCTGAGATCAAGAGCTGCATGCTCTGCTGACTGAGCCAGCCAGATGCCATCCCAGCCTTTTCTGAAGGCTTTAGCTGAAAGCAGACTATGGCAGAGCAGATATAAAGAGATCATTTTTCTCTGGGCTGTGGTTCCATGATTAACAGCACGGGAATCTCTAATTTTAGGCAACTTAATTTGGAAGAGTGCCTCTGCAATACACATATTCTTTTGTATCGCGTGGGCTGTCGGCTTGGCCTGCCATCTCTGGCTTCACTCCCAACAGAACATCTTACATGAGGAAGAAGGCAGGTGAGCCGTGACTTTTGCTCCTTGGAAGGGGTGGGGTAGAACTGAGAAATCTGTTCCTCTTTAACCCCTTATCTGCACCACGATGACTCAGCTCCCCCAACTATACCCTGAGGAGCAGGGGAGGTATTAGCTCCTTCATACGCTGAAGAAGCAGGAAATGAGCCAGGATTCACACCCAGCACCAGGTACCACGTTCCACAACCACGGCCAAAGGCAGTCAGCACACGCGTTATATTACTGTCAGGCAGTTGACCTTGGCTCCTTACAGTGAACAAGCAAGGACGCCATACAGTACTACTCAGTCCAGAATGCTGATCATTCCCATCAGCATTCTGATTTAGTTGTGGTTCTGGCCAAAATCTTCTCTACAAGTGTGATCGGCCACCTCAGAGGTCAGTATGTTAAGTCAACCTCTGTCAGCCTTGCCCAGCTACGTCCCATGTCATCTCCTCCCTTTGCCAAGGCCATGTGTTCCTATTTCATCACCTCTTCCTTTGGTTCCTCCCACCCTTGACTCCCTGGCCTCATGCATAGCCCCTTTTCCTTCCTGTCCATCCTACTGCTAACACTAAGATTTAGAGACGTAGAAGGTAATCATCCCTGGCAGGGTGCTACTTTGTTAGAGGCCCTAATCCTTGGGAAACTGGAGAGCAAATCAGATTCCGTCTGCCCATGGGATCATCAACCCAATGGGTTGAATCACTTCCACCAACTTGAGGCCCATGAGTTATGGTGGGCTTCCAGTGGTACCATGGCCAAATATAACTTTTCTACTCTATGTAAAATATGTGTGCTTTTAACACATACTTCTAGAAGCATATACCCACCCCCAAACCATTAGTCTGACTCATACTACAAATCATTCCTCTCCCCTAAGATGTGACCCAATCTCCCGCAGCAGGTGCTCCGTATTTATGGATCTGAGTTCATCCTAACACTGAACACTCTAAAACAGTGTAAAATTGATGCCTGATAAATCTGGGATAGTTTTCTTGGTTGTACTATATTCCTTCTAATAACCTGAAATAAGTGATTTGTGTTTTTTGTTTTGCTGGGTTTTTTTGTTCACTTAGAAGGTGGGGAACAGGGATGGAGCTCACATCCATCTCATAAGATAACACTTATTTTCATATAAGGCGTTAAGCTATCTGAAAAAAAGTAACTTTTGAATCATGGCCAGACTTGAAAATATTCTGTAGATGCTGTGTGTCTTGGGAGAAGGTCATTCAATAATCAGCAGAAGCTAGTGGTCATGGGAGAGGATGGAATGATATGCATCTCACTCATAGCTACTTCAAAAATCTGAAATGTGTGTTATTTTATAGGGAGCTGTTTGGTCTGGTGATTATCACAGTATGGATGGGCCTATGTCACAGTTCATCAAAGTAAGTTTTCAACTCATTAGCTAAAATCAGGTGTCTTCAAGGTTGGTCAGATCAGATAGGCAGGAGAAAGTATTGACATCCATATGCAGACAAGAATCTTTTGAAAGAAATCTTTCCTTTTCTCAAGGAAAGCCAATGGTAGTTGAATCAGAGGTTCATGATCACCCACACTTTTCTAGATGCCAGTTTCTGATGTGACCCAGTGTAATAGGGAGCTGTCAGCCAAAAGGGTGTTCTTTAGGGAGAGGGCAAACGATCTCACAGAGAAGCTTAGAGATTTACGAAAGCATGAAGAGCAAAGAAAATATAAAAGTCTGGGTACATATAGATGAATATTAACTTTATAAAATAGTAGTCATAATGTTTCATGGGGCTTAAACATGTAAAGAATAAAAATACATGACAACAGTAGCATATAAGAAAATAAACAGAGTGAAAGTGTTCTAAGAACCTTGAAACAGCAAATTAAACCCAAAGAAACAAGAAGAAAATAATCATAAAAGCAGAAACCAATGAAATGAAAACTCAACATAAAAAATGGAGGATTCAGAAGGCCAAATACTGGCTTTATAAAATGATTCATAGCTTCGATAAGCCCTGCCAAGACTACAAAGGAAAAATAATAAAAGTGAGAGCAAGGAAGAGGAAGCAAAAATAGAGAATATCAGAAATGAAAAAGAAAATGTTACTACATATCCAATAGATCTTGCAAGAATCACAAAAGGATATCATGAACAACTCCTTGGAAATAAATCTGAAAATGTAGACAAAATGGATAAATTACTTTAAAAATACAAATTAGCAAAACTGACACAAGAAGAAATTCTCCAGAACAGTCCCATAGCTATTAAAGAAACTGAGTCCTCAATTTAAGTTTTTGCTAAAGGAAAACTCTAGACCAGATGGTCTAACTGGAGAATTGTACCTAATATTTAAGGGAAAAATAATGCCAACCTTTAACAAACACTTCCAGAGAACAGAAAAAGAAGAAACACTTTACAATTCATGTTATGAGGACAGAATAATCTTGATACCAAAACTTGATAAGAACATTTAAAGGGGGTGGGGCAAAGAAATTACACAGCAGTCTCTCTTATGACTACAGATTGAAAAATCCTAAACAAAGCATTAGGGAATCATATCCTGCAATATATAACCCAACCACCAAGTTAGAGTTTATTCTAGGAACACAGTTTAACATTCAAAAACCAACCAATGTTTTCTATCACATTAACAGAATAAAGGAAAAAATAAACTATCTTCTCAATCTATTCAGAAAGAGCATTTGGTAAGATTCATCATCTGTTCACAAGAGCTGTTGGTAAACAGGTGTAGAAAGGAACTGAACCTGATAAGTGGTATCAGCACCAAAGCTTGAGACTCAGTGGTGAGCAGCTGAAAACTTTCCTTCTGAGATCAGGATTGAGAAGGGATTAGCTACCACTGCCACTTCTGCTCAACACTGCTCTAGCTAGGATCGTAGCCAGTCCAATAAGGCAAGAAAAAGAATTAAGAGGCACAACAATCGGAAAAGAAAAATGTTCATTATCCATGGCGACAAAAAAAATCAAACAGACTCTAAAAAGTTAGTAGAGTGAGTGAGTTTAGCATGATTGCTGCACACCAGGTGAACGTACTGAAACCAACTGCATTTTTATCAACAAGTAACAGAAAATGATAAAAACAAAAAGTTAAACATAAATAATAACATCAAGAAATCAACTCCCTAGGAGTAAATCTAGAAAGAGGCAAAATCTCTATAAATAAGACTGTAAGACACTGTGGGAGAAATTAAAGACCAAAATAAGTAGAGGGATAGATAAACTAATGAAAGAGTAGAATCTAGGAACAGGTCCACACACAAGCAGACCCTTGACTTATGACAGAGCTACGTAGCACTGCAGCTGCAGCAAAGAAAGGCAGACTTCTCAACACATAGTACTGGATCAACGGAAACTCATATGGATGAACTTTCCCTAGCTAACTTTCATAAACCTCAATTCCAGGTGGATTACAGCTCTAAAGTGAGAAGCAGAACAGTTAAGACTTTTAGAGAAGATGACCCCAAATCTCCAAGACCTTGGGGAAGAAAAGCTTTCTTAAACACGACACAGAAATCATTAGGAAAAGATCAATTTTAACACTGCCTAATTAATCGGTGACTTCAGTTCCTCAAAAGACATCATTATGTGAGTGGGAAAAGCTATTTGCAATACACCCAAACAACAAAGATTTGCATTAAGAATGAAGAACTCCTGGGGACGCCTGGGTGGCTAAGTCGGTTGAGTGTCTGAGACTCTTTATTTCAGCCTAGGTCTTGATCTCGGGGTGGTGCATTTGAGCCCCATGTTGGGGTCCATGCTGGGCATGGAGTCTACTCAAAAAAAAAAAAAATGTGTTCACCAAATTCAATCTTTGTACTTGTTTCCAAAGCAACCCATTATTTTTATTGGATTTTTATTGTTAATATTTCCTGTATGTCTTCATAGGAATCCGGTTGGTGGAAGAATTCAGCTGGCTACTGCCATTGCAATCGCTCTCCTCCCATTTATCTCTTGGACCTACATCTACATAAACAAGGAGATGCGATCCTCCTGGCCGACTCACTGCAAGACAGTAATTTAAATGAAGTCAAGAATTCTCTTCTTCAAATGAGTATTGTCAATCGTTTATAAATGTGGTTGTAACAAGCCAATTTCCTAGGAGTTTATTTTAAAGGTAATTTGAGCTAATTTTAGAGGTGATAAAAAAAAATCCTAAGAACTTTCTGAGGATGCCTACGACACAACATGGGATTGCGTGGGACTGGTAAGAGACGGGGGTCTGACATTCAGTTGTCACAGTGTAGTAGAAAAGGCAGCAGAACGAAAGTTCCAAAATGTGAATTCTAACTCAACTTATCACTACCTATATGCCTTGGGCAAATATATGAACCTCCTGGTGGATGTCTTCATCTGTAAAATAGGATTAATACCAGATCTCCTACTCACTTGTACAGTTGCACAGATTGAACTGGAGAATATGAGAGCACTCCAGAAATACCAAATGCTTATAAGGGGCTACACATGATTAAAACAGAGGAAAGCAGGGTTTGGGTGATAGGATAGACACAGAGGTTCAAGAAAGGGCTGTGCCCCTGCACTGAACTCACTGTACGGGACCAGGGCAGCGCCATGAACTAAATGGGGATGCCAAATGAACGAGTGTGTCTTAGAGAGAGAGGAGAGTTAGGTAGAATAAAGGAATTTGGGACCAAAAGGAAAGAGGCAATATTAAATGCATTGTAAATAAAAAATAAGACCAAAATCTGTACACATTTTTTTAAAAAATGAATGTCAAAGGTCACCCAGGGGAGAAGACCGTGCTCTCCAATGTGGTAACTATAGTACCATAACCATGATGCATACGCACACACACAACATGGGAACATCACTATGGTGTGGATACATATATCATAACATAACATAACCATAACATGTTGCATTGAGCACCTGAAATGTGGCCAGATTGAGGAAGTAAAATTCTTTTCATTTTAATTTTAAAACGTCAATTCAATTATTAGAAAACTTATAAATGTGTTTGGAACGCTTGTGTTTGGAACAATTGGACATGTGAATCTACTTCTTTAACTGCAGGTTTTATATCTAAATATAGATCAAGTATTTCGAGTGAAAATGTAATGTCAATGGATGGGTTATTAAATATAAAATACATCCTGGATTCTAAAGACATAGTACAAAAAGAATGTAAAATATTCTTATATTGATTACATGTTGAAATGATTTTAGATTTGAGTTTAGATATTTTAGAATTGAGTTTAATATAAAATATATCATTAAAATTGTTATCTGTTTCTATTTACTTTGTAAAATGTGACTGCTTTCAAATACTTCTGTGGCTCACATCGTATTTTTGTTGGATGGCGATTTTTTTACATCTACTGGCATCAAACACTGGAGTCAAGATTCCATTTCATGAGATTTAGGAAGTATTTCACTCAAAAAATATTCATATATATATATATATATATATATCAGGAGAGGGGAAATAAGTCAGGCCATTTGTCTATTTTTACAGCCTTTAATACAATATTACATATTCTACAAATATTTGTTAAAGGAGGTATGTATGGTTTTTGTTTTACACAATGGCCACTGGACAGGCAACATTCTCTGTTAAGATTGAGATGAAGGAAAAGGAGAAAAAAATCTAGTCGATATTAAAACAAATAACGTGAAATTTATTTTAAGGGTCACTAAAATACATATAAAGGATTCCGGTGCTTCAGTATACATTTAGCTTGCATGATGCTTCTGGTTTTTACATCTCTTTTAATGTAACTACTAAAATCACATAGGAAAAAATGGACTCATTTGCAAATTCCATCTAGGATCTACCTATCCTCCATGTAATGCTTGATTCTGTGCTTAAAAGACAGAATTGTTGCAATTAAAAAAAAAAAGTGATGTTCAAAATATCCTTTCATCCCATCTGCACCTCCGGTATCACACTATGAATTCTGTGATGACACGCAATTCCTTTTATGCATCTATGAGCACGGCCTCCTGAAAGGAGTCTTTATTACTGAGATTGTTGTAGACTCCAGTTCTCAACTGAATTTCAGGAAGCTCGATGTCTCTATTATCCAAGCCTCTGCCTTCCCACCCGTCTTTTTTCTTCCCTCCGGTGGGATCTCCATCAGCCTCTCGTTACCGCTGCCGGGACTGAGACACAGATCTGATCACAGCTTCCCTGCTGTCTGACAAGCCCAGTTCTAACTGTGGGCTCATCACTCAAGGCTCTTCACGACACAGGCCTGTCGGCTTCCTGCGCTACTTCTTGCCATAACCCCAGGTACCTTTCGGTGAAGCTTCACAGCGTTACTCTCCACCCCTCAATTCAGCATGCCCTTTCACCTCTGCTGATGCTATTCTGCCCACCTGTCGAAACCATTTTCCTCCTCCTTCAAGTCATCCCTCATCCCGTTAAACAAATTTAAACACCCCTCCACATTCCCAGGCCTTTCTTCCGCATTTGGTATCTATGGATGGTAAGGCCGGTGAATGCAGGGAGCACGTGACAGTCGCCTCTCCCGTGGGCTGAATCATGGCCCTCGGGGACACCCAGGTCCTGGTCCCCAGAACCCAGGACCGTTACCTTGCGTCACAAAACAGACTTTGCAGATACTATAGAGTTAAAGGTCTTGAGATGGGGAGGTAAGCCTGGAGGTAATCACAGCTGTCCTGATAAGGCAGGCATAGGGAGGTTTGAAGAGGCCGCCTTGCTGGCTCTGAAGATGGAGGAAGGGGCCTTGAGCCAGGAATGGAAGGCTGGAAGCAGGCTCTAGAAACTGGGAAGGGCAAGGAAGCAGATTCTGCCTCGGAGCCCCCTGAGGGGGGACAACACCTTGAGCTCAGCCCAGGCGAAACGGTTCAGACTTCTGGCCTCCCGAACTGTAAGAGAGCATGTACACGCTGTCTGAAGCCACCAACGTAGTGGTGGATTGGCCGAGCAGCCGCAGAGCACAAACACGCCCCAGTACCCCCAGAGCCTGGGCACTCGGCAGGCACGCTGACGCTGACGAGTACTGCTTTTTTCTCTCCTGATGCTTTTAGGCCCTGAGTCAAACTTTCTCTACATTTCAACAGTCCCTTTACTATCCAGTAGGTGTCGCCACAGATAAGACTTAGCACATAGGACAACCGAATTAACGTGCCCCATTTGTCTAGAAAGGGAGTCAAGAGTAAATTCATCTACCCACTGTGGTCTCTAGCTGCTGGACACGAGCTGCTGCCCAAAGAGACATCAGTGGGCACACAGCCGCACTGGCCCTTGGTCTTGCTTTGCTTAGAGTCACAAGGCCACCGCGTGACTTCTCGGGAGGCCCTTCTCATGGCCTCACGTGGGAGGGACTACACATTCACCTGTGAAATAACTTATTTGTTGTTTACACAACAGGGATACAAGCCTATAAATGTACAAACATGATGGGTATTCTGAGCAAAATATCCAACGTTCATTCACACGGCAGGATACACAGAGAAAGTTTACCTGAGCTGATTTTATTTTTTTATTACGAATTTTAAGTTACATAGTTAATACATGAATACATCCTCCTTGTAAAAAGTAAAAAAATGTCAGATAAGGCTAAATGAAGTCAGTTTTGAGAACTATACCACCCCCCTCTGTCTCCTCCCTGGCTGATTCAGGCTGCTTTCATTTTTCATTCATTTTGTTTCCAACCCTCAGCACTGGATAGATTATCCAAAAATGACATTTCAGAGTATCTCATGAGCTAACGCACACTGAGGCCATAAATACATTTTGTTATGCAAATAGAATACTACACAATGAGCCTGAGGATTTGTGGGGGGGTAAATAAAAACACAACGCTCAACCACCACTCTCTAGAACGGTAAACAAGATAAATGGGACTAAAGCTGGAAAGCGTTTTCCTTCTTATAATTCATAATTCTGTCTGGAACTCGGCCTCTCCCTTTCAACATCATTTTGTCAGGGTAGACATAAACGGTGCCAAAAGCCTGGCTGTCCGGAGCCGTTTCAATAACCCCTTCTAGGTTGATATGGTGCACACCAAAAGGATCCTCAGAGTAGCCACCATCGTGAGTGTGACCAGCGAAGAAACACACCACACACTTGTGAGACCAAATGACTGCCAGGGCATCTCTGTAATTCCAGGCCAGGCACACACTGTCAGAGGCCTCTGGGTAAATGGGAAGATGGCCTGTTAGTTAAAGAGAAGAAGAGTTAGGAGCCAATTAGGAAATGTCTCTTTCATCAAAACAAATGGCGAAAAACTAATACGCAGGAAAAAAAAAAAGGATATCGCTACTTATTTCAAATAGACTAAGACCAGAGAAGCACCAAATAATCCACAGCCACATCTCTGCAGCATACAGAAGAGGGGGACAGTCCACATACACGGGGAGAGGCCACTGTCCAGGCAGAACCCCTGAGATCCCTACAGCCCACAGTATCTGAAGACGCACAAACCCCAAGAAAGACTGAGGGCATCCCATGCAGAACTGTCCACAAGGGTGGCCAGAAGCCAGGTAGATGCCGTGCCGGAGTCCAGTCTCTTGAACACGAGTGCTGGGTACACAGAAAGAGGTACCCCTAAACTTGAGAACAGTTTAGGGATGGGTCATGGGTTAGAGGTCATTTATAGAGGCACTCAATGCTTTAAAACGGATCCATGCCACTTTAAATGCCTCCATGAGATCCCGGGAGCCGGAGCCATTTTACAGATGAGAAAAGCAAGGTAAAGCAGGGAGTATTTATACTCGGTCCCACAGGACATACGTGGAAGTAGAGCCAAAGGATTTCGAATTCCTGACGCCAAGACACACATGGGGTCACGTCATGTCTCACTCTGGAGTGCAGGCACAAAAGCTCCCTCGGCTTTGCTTCTTGCCCTGAAATCACTTTCCTGTTTTGTTACTATTTACTTGTTACCGAAATTTATTCTGAATTTTTCTTATGAATATTTTTACTGTTCAATATCTATCAGTTTGTAATATAAGTTACAAAGGGGGGTGTTAACAGATTCCCAAAGAGTCAAAGGAGTCAGAAGAACTTACAAGTGTGTGTGCACTCGCACACGCACGCGCGCGCGCGCACACACACACACACACACACACCCCCACTCTTGAAGCCGTGATGACAGCTCAGAGTCCAAAGCGGCCAGTGACTCTCCAGATCAAGGGGCCACACTGGACTCCTGACACAGCGACCTGCTCCCCCTCCTTGAAACACTGGGCTGCCAGGACACCACCAGTGCCCCTCGTCTTCCTCCAACCTCGATGGCCACGAATTCTCACTCCCCTCTGCAGGCTCCTAATCTCCCCCACTTCCTACTGGGAGTGCCTGAATGCTTGGTCCTTGGGTTCCACTTCCCTATTGACACCTAATGGCCTGGTGACCTCGTAACTTCTCCAATCTAGTAAAGTGGCTGGTGATCTAGTAAAGTATCAAATGTCTCCGACATTCTTTCCACTCCCACATGTTTATACCCAGCCCAGACTTCCACTCTGAATTTCAGACCCGAACATCCAAACATGCCTGATGCGTGTCTGAAACTTAACCCTACCATGGTCAAACTCCAGAACTCCCCACCCGGCACCCCCTCCTGCGGCAGTGCCCCGTATGTCAGCGAACATGTCAGCAAACAGCATGCTAGCCTTCCAACTGCATGGCCAAAACCCCACAGGTGGAGGCAAAATGACTTCTCAGTCCCCAAAATGCAAAGTCAAAGAGCAAACTAAAATGAAAGAGAATCGCCATTAGCCATTTAAAACTCTGTTATAGAAAACCTGACGCACTCAGTTGCCAAAGGTTTGTTCATCCGGGTTCTGGGCTTACAGTGACAGGGAGGAATTTAAGAGGCGGCTAACGTAGACATGGGCCCTGACGGAATAGGAAACGGTGGAATCCAGGACAGGGCGGGAAAGGAGATGGGAGGGACTCGAGTCTCAGCCAGAATCACATGCTACTGACACAACTAGGTCATTTAATCTCCCAGTCTCCCAATCTTTGAACTGAAAGGGTTGACGATAAGACGTGTAGGTCCCTTTCAGCTCCAGTATTCTCTGGAGTGACAGGCACAGCCTGACACTGGGAAGCCAAACAGCAGAGACACGTCAAGAAGTGTTCCAGTTCTAGAGACCACCTACTGCAGCGCCAAAGAGGGTCACAACGCGCAATAACCGCCGGGGAATCCTGTACTCTCCGAGCCTGGGATGCCACTTGGAATTCCCACGACAGCACACACACTCCTACTCCATCTACACGTTTGCCCCACATCGGGGAAAGATGCACAAGTATTTATGGAAATATACTTTTAGATCAACTATCAGAAGAGCTTGTCATTTTCAAGGGGTTTTCACGTTCGTCATTCCATTTGGTGCAATCCAGAGAAAAACCGCAGTTTGTAGGTTCAACATTTACGCAGACTCATACAGCTCACAGAAGCAAATGCACACAGACCAGCCTCCTGTCCTTGGGACCCCAGGCACAGTCCTCTCTGTCATTCTGCCACATCAGTTCTAAAGCGAGGATCTAAACTCAGTGCCCAAACCAAGTACACCAGCCACACTGCAAATCCAAATTCAGTCCCCTGTGTGCGTGCACACGTGTGCAAACACCTGCAGCTGAGTATATGTTAAGCACCTCCAGATTCGTACGACCTGTGATGACAGCGTGTCTGGAAAAGACATTCTAGGTGGAAATAAGAGCAATCTTACTTCCTTGCAAACACATGGCAGAGAGTCTAGAACTGAAGTACTCACTGCCAGGTGAGTCTCTAACGCGTGTCCTATTACGAGCTTCGCTTCCAACTAGATAGCAGAGGCCCCCGGCCGGCAGCCACCACACTGATGGGCAGGCATCCTGAGGCTGAGGCTGGGTATGGGGCCTGGCCTGAACTGCTCACTCAGATATCACAGCTGACCCGTGAACAAAGGTTTAGACTGCGCGGGTCCACTTATCCACACATTTTTACAGTAAATACAGAAAATACAGTGAATGTATATTCTCTTCCTTGTGATTTTCTTAACATTTTCTTTTCTCTAGCTTACTTATTGTAAGAAGGCAGCGTATAATACATATAACATACAAAATATACATCAACCAACCGTTATCGGTAAGGCTTCTAGCCAACAGTAGGCCATTTGTAGTTAAGTTTCTAGAGTCAAAAGTTGTACGTGGATTTTCGACTGTGGGGGGGGCAGCACCCCTAGCCCCCATACTGTTCAAGGGTCAGCTATACTATGTAAAATGATCCCATGTGCTGAAATTCCACTTGGAAACCTAAAAGGTCAACGTACAGGCACTAACACATGGCAAGATATTTTTTCTATTTTACGGTTCTTTCCTGACTCAGCTGTAAATGTCAATCTTATACTCAGGTTCTCAATAAAGAAAGGTAAGCATTCATTTGACAGCAAGAGGACACCACGACATAAATATCATTAGTACACTCTCAAACCCCACTTTCCCATTCTCTAAAATGCTGGCGTAATCAAGTAATTTAAATACTTACTCACAATCACCACCTTTTCCTGGTTTGTGTCAGAGAACGTAAGAACTTCATTCAACCAGTTCAGCTGCTCTTGGCTGAATCCTCCATTAAACTGGACAAACTGGGGCTCAGAAAGTCCTGAAATGAATGCAGTATGTCAGACACATCCGATGTCAGCTTCTTTCTCCTTTGGGCATGCACACTTGGCTAACGTGGGGACACCTGTACTTTTCTGTAGGAATGTGCGGCAGAAGTTGACTTAAAATAAGAAACCGCAAGAATTTACAGCAGCAGACAGATAAATGGCCTGTACCCACCCAACTGCTTACCTCGCTAGCTCCGCGTTCCACTGAAAAAAAACACAGGCTCCTGTGTCCACGGGCCACACAAAGTCACCTTGTGCCCCACTGGCCTTTTCCTGAGTCCTTTAAGGATGCTAACATGTCACTCTGCTCATATCTTTCCATCGGCCCAGCTCTGTCCTGAATACTCCGCCCACCCTGCACTTCCCAAGGATGATGACTCCTTCCAATCATTTAGGTTTCTGCTTAAATGTTTTTCTCCCTGGAGAGGCCACCTCTGACCAGCTAAGCTAAAACACTACCCTGAGTCCTTTTCTTTAACCTTACATGTAATTTTCTCGGTAGCATTTATGGCTGCAGACGTAATTCTATTTGTTTCATTTATGGTCTGTCCTGCCCACCTACTTCTCTTGCTTCCTCCACTCCATCCATCCAAAGAAAAACAAAGGTGACACTGTGAGCATTGTTTCCGGCTCTGACGAGCTAGCCCTGGAAAAAGGGCCCGGCCCAGAACAGGCATTCGGATACCCATTAAATAAATGAATCTTGAACCAACGGCAGCCAATCCACACGCCGGGAGAAATCCTGACCCTGAACAATAGTGACAATATACTTTTACCTTAATCATCCATCTTCCTGCTGAATAAAAGGTAGCTGAAGAATGGAAAGACAATGTATTAGACTCTCAGCTCAAAGGAATAATTCACCTTGCGGACTATTCAACTCCGAATTTGGATTGTGCTCCCTCAGTATCTTCAGACACTGCTGGTATTTTGGAGAGGACTGATCCACGCCTAAGACGCTCAAGTCGTAAGCATCCAGTAAAATGAACCGGAATTGAGGGAACGGGACAAAGTGATAAGCATAGTAATCCTCCGAAGGCACAGTCTTGGGATGGTGCACAATCTGGTCTTCTAGAAACTTTGTGTTAAGTTTAGAATTTGTTAGGTAGTTTCTGCTGAAGTTATAGAACTCGTGGTTCCCCCACGTGTGATGAACGGGGACTTTAAGCATCTGGAAAGTGTTCATAACAAGTTCAAGCGACTTTTCAGACACTTTGTACTGTGCGTTATACCCGTCAATGATATCTCCAAGCTGAAGCACGCAGCGGGGCGGGCTGCCCTCCCTATTCCAGTGCTCAATAGCACCCCGTAAGTGAAACAGACTGTGTCTGTAGTATCTTCGTCTGTTTCCTTGGAAGTTATAGCCATCTTCTAAATCAGCGTATTGGATATCTGCTATCACCCCAAAGGAGAAGAGAACTTCCGAATTCTCACTCAGGGTTCCAGGGTCGGGCTTATCGTCCATAACCTTCAAACGGGTTTCTAAACAAAATAAAGAACATAACTACACTATAAACATCTTACTTTTCTAAATGGGCTGCAGAGGATGGTAAATAAAGTATTAACAGTTAATCCACCAGGTAGCGTGGTAGAGAGAAAAGCACATGGGCCTTAAAGTCCAATTGTCCTACGGCCAAGGTACCAAGTCTTTGAAACAGTTCAGTTTTCTCATCTGTAAAATAACCTCTATTCTTCAGAAGAGTAATTTACAAAAGGGTATTATCCTATTAATGAACAGGTATTCTAAATCCAGAAAAGTCAAATTCACATCTGGTAGAATTTGTAATTTTTAAGAAATACACACTAGTTTGTTACACGCTTACGTACACACACACACACAGTACTTTCTTCCACAAACACCAAAATATTCTATCAAAACTTCAGGATTCTTTTTACAAAAAATTACATATTACACTCATTCATTGTACTTTATACATGAGATTCCCACTGCAGATTATTTCATGTCAGGTTGGATCTTTTGTCTTCTTTGGTGGGTAGGTCACTTGAAAGAACTTGCTCATATTTTATATCTGGGATAACAGGGGGGAGGAAATGAAGAAAGAGGGGAATCATTTTAAACAAACAAAAACTAACTATAATATTGATGTGACTATCTTCATTTCTGACAAATGGTTCCTGGTTCTTCAGTTGTTGGATTCCAATCTGAACCAGCTTTTTTTAACCTGAATCTTAACTACCCTGTCCCAAAACCAAAATGGAAAATAAGTCATCTTTTCTTCTCACACGTGATCTGTGCCCTGCCACACTAGCCAAGAATAAGGGATTTAGACCTGAAAGCTATTATTTTACTAGATTGTTTACAATCTAAATTTATAATCATTTCTAATGCCCCAAAAGAGCCAAGAACACTAAAGATTAAAAATAAAAACCAGGGGCGCCTGGGTGGCTCAGTCAGTTAAGCATCTGCCTTTGGCTCAGGTCATGATCTCAGGGTACTGGGATCGAGGCTTCCTGCTCATCGGGGAGTCTGCTTCTCCCTCTCCCTCTCCCCCTCCCCCCTGCTTGTGCTCTCTCTCTCGTTCTCGCTCTCTCTTGCTCTTTCTCTCAAGTAAATAAAATCTTTAAAAACAAAATAAAATAAAGGCCATGATCCTAAATGATCAACTATTCTTATTATAAAGTCTACAGTAGTACACTGTGCTGTGGGATCAAAGCATATTAAAGCCTCACTGTTTCTAAAAAAAACCTCATGTGGAATTTCTAAAATTACTTCTCGACTCCTGGCCTCCAGCGGCCCACTACAGCTACTGAGTTCTCTTCAATCACCGAAAGATACATGAAATCCTAGCTGTCAGAGCACTGCTGTCCGAGGCGGAGGTGACAAACTCTACAGCCAGCAAGAGGGCCGGGCGGCAATCTGACTTCCTTGAGAATTAAAGGCCTCTTTTCATTCTGAAACTGTTGTCACTAATGATACACATTCTATGTGATCCACCCAATTGTGAGCTTCAGCCACCTTCCTCTCTTCCTTAATCGGGTTTTGTATAACTAGCCCTAACAAAGGTATAAAGCAGCATTAGAAAAAGGTTGGAAATCCTGAAAAATGGCTTGGTGTTCTGACACTTGTTTTTCATTTGCTCGTTCCGTCCTGCGGTCCCCATCTGAAAACCCAGTAGATATCAAGCCAGCAGATATGTCTGCAGGGTGGATGAGATCATCTGATTCGAAAGGTGAAGAACTCAGATACAATAAATATAGAATTCATCTAAGTTACATGAAAATCAGTAGTCTTACTAGGTTTCAAATGTTTGTGATTCAAAGTACAGATTAATAGGAGATTTCAACCAGAAGTTAACTGAGTACATGTATCACTGGAACATTATTACCAAAGCTTAAGAGAAAACAGTTTCTGGGGAGGCTTTTATCCTTTGCCAAATGAACTTGTTTGTTTTCGTCTCTAAACTCAGAGGCTTTAAGGTGATAATCTGTACTGCGGATCTCTTAAGGGGGAGCTTTTAGTCCCAATTAATTTGATCTTCTAGGAGAAGCTATTATTTGTGCCTGCCTAGCCAGTATTCATCTCCTGTTCTTCTGGTAACAGCACCCCTGGTCTCCCCAGGCATCTATACAATCCTCGCTCTCAGTACCTGCGCTGTGACCTTGACCCCCCTGGCTGTGCAAGTGTTGGAAAGGGCACACACGTGACCCTGGCCTATAAGCGCCCAGTTTCCCTCTGGTCAGTTCGGGGTAAGCATAACCCACACCGGAGACAGTGAGCATCAGCGCAGGGGCTTTTGCTGCAGCTACTCGTGCGAAGCTGACGACAAAGGCCTGAGCCGCTGAGGAAGGTTACCTGAGAAGGAAGGAAGCATATTTGAATGATGCAAAGAAGTCCTGGAAACATGAGTTGAACACCTGGATCCACCTGTCTCTGTTAGAACTGCTCTTGGTCATTTAGTTCTATTGGCCATTAAATTCTCCTCTGGGGCGCCTGCGTGGCTCAGCCGGTTAAGCGTCCAACTCCTGATTTCGGCTCAGCACATGAGATGGAGCCCCGCGTCGGGCTCGGTGCTCAGCACAGAGTCCACTTGGGATTCTCTCTCCCTCTCTCTCTGCCCCTCCTCCCCCTCGTGCTCCTACACGCTCGCTCTCTCTCAAATAAAACCGTAAATACATAAATACATAAACAAACATAAACATAAACAAAAAATAAACAAAATACGTAAACACACATAAACTGTAAATACACAAACAAACTCACTCTCCTCTGAGTCAAGCCAATCTGAACTGGCCCTAGGATTCCTGTCGTGTTATACAAAAAGTCCCATCAGATACACCTCCCACTGGAATACAGTTCAATTTAGAGAAACTTAAGGGTAAACTAAGATTTGCCAACCTTTTAAAGAAAATTAAGCAATGTGCAGAGAAGCAGCAAGGGCCACACACTTCAAAACAGTAATGTGTTTTGGGGTAGAAAAGAGATTTGCAATGTCAAAGACATATGGCTTTTTTAAAAATAAGGCTAAGGGCAGGGAATATACGGTTTTATGAAATAAAGAAATTATTTTTTAAAACAGAAGTGTAAACTGATACTGCCATCTGTTAAGAGAAGATATGAAGCAGGGAGGAGAGACAATGCCACATGCAAGGAAAAGACCGTGAGGATCAGAAGTGAGTTAGGCGGGTCTCAAGAACTCAAGTGGGCAGGGAACGGATTCTCCCAACTAGTTCAACATCTTTTATTGTATGGTTCTGGGAGGTGCCAGGGAGCTCAGAAAGACTGGTCCTGGTGGCCAGAGAGATAAAAAAAAAAACTCAAGACACCTCCAGTGGGGAAACGCACAATTAATAAACATGCCAATGCCATGAACTTTTCAAAATACCCTCCATCGTCCACCAGACACACACACAGAAGTGGGTGAGTGGAGGATAACTGTTGAAGCTGGGAATGGGTACGAGGTTCACTCTTGCTGCTTTTACGCGGGTTTCAAGACATCTAGAGATGTCTATAATACGAGGTTTTTAAAAAGTGTTTTTAGAGAAGATAAAGTCTGAACGAATTAGAAGACCTAAAACCTAAGACCTCTGAAAAGAAAGGAAAATCCCAAGTTTTACGTGAACTTTGTTCTGAAAGTCTGGAGCGCACCGTTATGTGTGAAGTTACCTAAGTTGTAGTTAAGAGGCAGTGGGACGGCTGCTGAAAGCTTTGAGATTGAAAACCTGGAAGGGAATTGTAGTCCCAGTTTTTCCTACAGGGAAACAACTCATCGGCACTTGTGAGATTGAACTAGCATATACTGTACAATAATCTACTTTTGTAAATCGTAAAGCACTACCAACATGTTATTTTTTAATTATCTGAAAACATATCTGCCTAGTGAACCTCCAGATAACTGAAACTCCTACAACATTTTATAGAACAGAATAGTATAGAAAACTTCACCAGAGTTTCAAAAATTCTACTAATGAACTCCTACAAAAATTCACAAAGATTTCCAAAAATTCCGACAGAAAGTCATGGTGCAGGATGAGCAGCCAGCAGTTTGTGAAAACCTCCTTAGGCATCAATGATGTTTAACAATAGGAAGAAACACCCAGGGATGCTTATTTGCTGGAAACTTGCTACAAGATGATACTAGTAAAACTTCTGTAATAAGATGGCAGAAGGCCAAAGCTCCTTGTAGAAGCCTCTCAAGCATCTACCATGAATTAGCAAATGAAGACAGTCCTACACTCTTGTCCAAGGAAGACGAAGGGGTGGGAGGACACAGCAGGACATTAGTAAGGAGAGACGGTCAAAGGGAGCTACTGCAACAGAGACACGCCCAGGCCTAAGCCAGAAGTATCTCAGGGAAGGGGGCAGGTCAGGTAAGCAAAGTCTTTCTATGCAGAGCCCATGGGACAGGCAGCCCTGGAAAGGAAAAGGGGTGTGGGGGGGGGTAGTGGGAGCAGTCTGGACTTTTAATTGTGCTAAGTACTGCAATGACAAGAAAGTTGAGGCTGGAAATGTTTGTGGCAAGGGACAGGCGGCAGAAGCAGACAAGTTACAGTGCTGGGAAGGTCACACAAAGTTAGGGCCTAGCTGTCCCAGTCAAGACAGCCTGAAGTTACCTCAAGCACAAAATCTGACTGGCCTCGTCACTATGGACAGAACAAACATCAGATGATATTATGTATATTCTGTCTCTTTCAAAAAATGTATCCATATTGCAGGAAAAAAACTCATTTGCCGATTCCTGGTGGTTTAAAAGTAGTAATGAAAGTGATAGGTTTACGCTAGACATCATTTTAGGTATCTTTTAACACTAGATTTCACGGGTCGGAGAAATCGGGCTCAGAGGTGTTATCAGCAACTCATCCCATGTATAGTTACAAAACACCTCCTTTGCGTCAGGAACGGTTTTAGAAGCTAGTATTTTATCTAATATTATACACTTAATATGAAGAAGTTGTATAAAAATGCCTTGGTAAACAAATTAAGGATAAACCTAGTAAAAGAATCACTTTGGCAAATGAAATTTAACAGACCAGCTAAAAACAACACTGAATTTTAATTTATATGACTGACATCATTAACATCCAGTGGAGCAATGAGAAAGATGAACAAAAATTGTATACGCTCATTGCCTGAACGAGTAAGGTATTTTTGTGTCTTTCTGGCAATTGGAAGGAAAACTTCTCCCAGGGCAAAAAAGAAGCGGGTTAAAAAAAAAAAAAAATCTCACCCACGGGTAACCTCAGGACAGAAAAATTAGTTTGACTGAGAACGATGTGAAGTGCACCATGTCCTTGGAGCAGAACTTGCAGAAAATTCCAGTTCACCTCGGGAATGAAGAAACGTGGGTCTCAGCAGAGTCCAGCTCGACTGTTAGGGAGGAGCCCACTTACTTGGCCAGTTATGCCGGCTCCAGTCCCACAAGCACTCGGGCACGAGCTGCTGCTTCTGCTCAGGGGAAGCTCCGGAATCTGAAGTTAGGGAAGAGAATTAGGCTTTTTTCCTCCCCGCTTTGTCTGTGTGTTGCCAGCGCGGAGGTGGGCAGGCAAGGGCAGGCGTTAAGGGTGCAGACACACTGGGAGGAAAACACAAGCACAGAGGACGCGCGTGCAAGCTGCACCTTCGCCAGCCAGGAAGAAGCAGCCCACGGATGCTCTGCGCCCAAGAATATGCGGCTGTGCCCGGAGGAGAGACGCGGTCCCAGGGGAGGACCTGAACCCTGGAAGCCCCAGCGCGGAGGGGAGCCAGCGAAGGCGTCCTAGGACGCGGGGGCCCAGCCGACTGACTCAGGGAGGGGACAGACACGGCGCAGAACCGGCTACTTCGTGCGGAGCTGCTGCTCCCCGCGAGGTGACAGCGCCCGGCGCTCACCGCCCCAGCCACTCCAAGGACCCCTGTGCTCAAGGCCCGAACGGTCCGAGACTACGTCAAGTGCAACAGGCCCGCCGGCACCCCCAGGAGGGAGGCAGCGGGGTCCGCGCCCTGCGGCTCCGGGCCGGCCTCCAGGCGGACGACGGGGCGACGCGGGTGGGGACGGGGGGAGCGAGGCTCTCCCGGCGGTGACTCCCGCGCCCGCCCTGCCGCCCGCCCGCGCCGCGAAGCCCCAGCCCAGCCCCTACCGGGCCCGCCTCCAGCCGCGAGGAACCACCTACCGCGCGTCGGCTCCACAGCCGATGGGTCCCTGGCTACCGGCTGGGCGACCTCGCCACCAACGAGTGGAGCGGAAAGAGCGGCCCGCGGCGACTTCCGGAGGAAGTGGAAACGGCGCCGGAAGTCGGGGGGCGGGTCAAAGGAGGCGCGGTCTCCCGAGTGCATGGCGGGGCTCTGGCTGGTTCACGGTTCTAGCATGCGGCTTCCGGGGGGCCGACTTTGGCGGCTCCTGCCTCACGGGCTCGGGGGGTGCGCCCCGGCGGAGGGGGCCGCCAGAGTCTGGCTCAGGCAACTCGGCGCGCGGCGAGAGGAGGCGTGGCGGACCTCGGAGCTGGCTCGCAGCGGCGGGGGAAGCCGGCCCTTGAGCACGGGGATGCCGCCCCCTCCAGGGTCGTCCGGCCCCGAGCCGAAGGGCCGCAGAGACCCCATGCGCCCCTCCAAGCCCGGGGTGAGTGCACACCTGCAGCCCTCTCTGCTCTTCGCGCCTGCATACCGCCCTACGGCCTGCCCGGCCCGCTCGGTGGTGACCTCGGAAATGGTCCCCAGCTCAGCCTTACCGGCGGGGGTCACAGACTCTGCTCCCTCTTTTCCCTTGCTTCGCCCGTAGTCCAGCCCGAAAGGGAGAACATGAGAACTGGCGCCTTCCCCACGCGGCTGAATTCTCGGGCTTGGGTTTTAGTTTTGCGTCCCCTCCTTCCAAAATACCCCGAAAATAGGGTTCGGGTTTTCCTGGGGGTCTCGGCCTTAAGTTGGCCATGACTGAGGAGTCAGAGCATGTTTATTTCTGTGAACCCCCTTTAGAGGTTCGGTGTGTATGTTGAAATTGAGCAAAATGTGGGTCGTAGTTGCGTGCAGGGTATGCCTTTTTCTTCGGTTTCTCTCAGGTTCTAGTTCTGACCCCTCTACCCACTAGTGTTGGGTAAAAGAAGTGGGCTTTAGAAGCTGGGGGAGGAAGGTTAATGAATGAGGCCGAGGTAGTCGACATCTTACTAACCTTGGGACTTGAAAAAAGAGGGCAAAGGAATAATTTGCAAGAAGCTCCATTTCTACTTTGGCTTTGTTACCTCTGGAAGCCAGAGTTAGATCAACCTCCCGAATTTTATTTATGTTCCCAGTATCAGCACAATCACATAATTAACCGGTTTTGAAATCAGCAGTTGGAGTCAGGGTCACACTTAGTAACAGTCATGGGACTTGAGCTTTGGGTGTCTTTCACATGAAATGCACTTAAGGACTTTCTTTCCCTTTGGGAATGAATGCTTCTGTAATTGTGATCACAACCCAGATGGAACTGCACCCAGACACTGTTGGTACTTTTTCACCCCAGAGTGAAGTGGAAACATTTTACATATTTAACAGAATCAAGACCTGTATTTATGTATATTAAAAGCCACGATAGTAAATTTAGACTGGTTAAATGTTTGCATCTTACTGGTGTTTTTATTTGAAATCTCTGCCCCAGTAGCCGGTTTCCTGGAAGTCTTTGGCATTCACATTTGCAGTTGGTGGAGCTTTATTGGCTGGAATGAAGTACTTCAAGAAAGAAAAGACAGAGAGTAAGTAGATATCTATCCTCCTGTCAGCTCGAAATAAAATCCTTCTCTAACATCTTTTATTTTGTTTTTAAACTTCTTATCTTGAAATAATTTTAGATGAACAGAATAGTTATAAAGATGGCATAGAGAGTTCCTATGTACCTTTCACCTGGCTTCCCCTACTGTTAACAAATTATATAACCATGGCACATTTATCAAAATTAAGAAATTAAAATTGATGCAATACTATTCACTTGATTTGGAATTCGGCAGTTTTTTCATTGTCTTTTATCTGGTCCAGGATCCAGTCCAAGATACCACTGTCTAACAGTATGAAAAGACTTACTGTGGACAGGTTTGGAGGTGGGTGGTGAAGCCCAGAGGCTACAGAGATGACCAAGATGCAGTCCAGCCATTGAGATGCACATGACAGGGAAGCAGACACAGAATCAAAGGACTTCACTAGATGAGGTTCTGCCAAGTCAGGGGGAAGCCCAGGATGCTCTGAGGGCCAAAGAAGGGCCATCCCCTACTGCAAACCACTGAGTATCAGCAGAGGGAGAGGCCAGAGGCTGACCACGGATGATGAGCAGAGTTTAAGAGAACCTGGTCAGGGGGTGCCAGGAATGGCTCTGGATTAGCACGGGAAGTGTTTAGAAATTGTTTGCAAGAACTTTATACTTTAGTGAATAGTCCGGTCTTTTAAGATTTGGTTTAAAAGTTTCCAGTAAACCTTTAAAATATCACTTAAATCTGTCTGGGTTCTTTAGAGTCTCTTGATGCCATGATACAAAGGATGTGTTTAACTCTGCAAGAATTCATAGGCTTTAGAATCTTAGCGATATAAGATCCGTTATTGATAAGTAGATGTGTTTCTTTTGTATAAAAATCAGCGTTTTATTGATGTGATTTTCATACTCTAATGAGAAATTAAGTTCCTTTACTTTCACAAAGAAACAAATCTGAGAAGCTGGGAAAGTAATGGCAGAGACAGTTCTAGGATATGCAAACTTTTGACTTTAGTTTGGAATTTCGCCTGCAATAGTATTTGTTTAATAAAATTATTATGGAACTATTAAAAGTATTTCTAAATTATCTGAGAGTATTTGCTGACACGATGCCTCATCAGATGCTTCACTGCGTACATTTTACAAACAAGTGCGTTCTCCCAACATAATCATAATGCAGCCGTCAAAATCAGAAAATTAACATCGACGTGTTAACTGCCATTCAGCCTTCAGACCTCATTCAAGTGTTGCACCTTGATGTTCCTTATCGCAAAAGGATCCGGGTCAGAACCATTCTTATACCTACTTATCTCTTTAGTCCCCTTCCATCTGTAGCAGTTTCTCAGTCTTCCTGTGACTTTCATGACCTTGAAAACTTTGTTATTTTGTAAAATGCCTCTTAGTTTGAGTTTGTCTGATTTCCTCACGATTAGATTCAGGTCATGTCCTTTTGGCCAGAATATCACAAAAAGTGATGCTGTGTTCTCACTGCTTCTAGTCTAGTACCATGTGATTTCATTTCGTCGCATTACTAATGATGTTCAGGTTGATCATGCATGAGTCAGCCTTCTCTACCGAAAACGTAGTTAATGTATATTTTGTGGTGTGTATTTACATATATGTAAATATTCCAGTCCCCACCAAATTCTCCGTGTTTCTATGTCCATACCAACTTGTGCTTTCCTATGTATTCCAAGAATTGTAATCCATATTCTCTTTATTTTGATGCTCAGATTGTCCCACATTGGTCCCTGGGAGTCTGAGCAACTTCCTGTTCCTTTTGACCTGCCTCCAATGTTGAGTTCTTCCTTAAATCTGGATCTTCTTGTACCTCCTCTTTGGTGGCCCCAATACCAGCCATTTCTCCAAAAAGCCCTGTTTCCTTTTAGTGGAGGATGATATTTAGAAGTCAGGAGATGGGCTCATCGCTTCCGGGTTGTATCTGCTCCAGGGTCCTCTCCGTGGACCGAGCTAGAAACTAGATGTAGGTACTTGCATCTCCGTTTATTTCTGTATCTGTATGTATCTCAGCCACAAGTTCACACCGGCACCTGCAGTCTCGGCTCGATGCTGCAGGGTGCGTTCTGATTCTCTCCGTCCATCTTTCTACCTCTGCTGCCACGTGTGACTCTTACCTTTAATCTGCTTATTTATGGTTCATCCCTTGTGCGTAAGTAAGGTCCCGTGGCCGCTGTCCCCGCCCCATTCAGATGCCCTCCTCGGGACACTCAGGCTCAGACTCCAGACGGCAGCCCCTGCCCAGTTACGGCCACGCCTAATGACTTGGCTGAATTGTTCCAGAAGAGACAGCAGCATCTTTACCGCTTTTTTTTCTTGGAGTCCTTACTACACACCATAGCATTTGATTTGACTTTGTTCATTGTTGGATACTTAATTTGCTTAAAAGATTTTTTAAGCTGATTGGAAACAGACTGTTCTCCACAGTCTGTGCCCCCACAGTTATGAGTATAGAACTGACCATACATCAGGCATTTCGGTGCTTGTGGTTAGATTGACTTTTGTAACGTGCGTGTTTGTGTCTCTTCAAGAGCTGGAGAAGGAACGGCAGCGAAGCCTGGGGAAGCCTTTACTGGGGGGCCCGTTTTCCCTCACAACACATACTGGAGAGCCCAAAACTGACAAAGACTACGTGGGTCAGTGGGTATTGATTTATTTTGGTTTCACTCATTGCCCTGATGTCTGTCCAGAAGAACTAGAAAAAATGATTCAAGTCGTGGATGAGATAGGTAAGCCATCACTGACTATAAAAAGTACGTTTACTTAATGTCCTTAACATTACCATGCTTTTCACATTCTCGTGCTACTGTCGGGTTGGGTGTCGTGATCATTTGGGTTCATTGTGAGAACATAAAATCTCAGCATCGCACTTCTTCGCTGCTTTGAATCCTGTGACCGTATCCTCTACCAGAGGGAGCTTGTAAATGCCGGGAGGTCTGGTTCCCCATAACTCTGCATTGTGCCCCTTCCTTGACTGTAGACACCCATCACTGACCCTGCCATCGTGCATGTGACACACAGACTGGAAAGTCACTGGTACGGTCTGTGCTGTGCAGTCAGCCGCATTTATGACCAATGAGGAAGCGGGGTATGTCCTTCTTGAAGTAGATTGTTTCAGGGGATCCAGCCTTTATTGATGATTATTGCCCTTGATGATTATTGCGGGGGGCAGACTGCAAACATCAGGTTGGATCAGGACACGAGATATCCACACGATGTGATCCGGGTAACGTGCACAGACTGGTGCAGGTGTTCAGTAGGATAATTACCTGGTTCCTGCACAGATACTATGGACATCTGCTCCTCCTGCAGGCCGTCCCATCCCCTGCCCCACCCCGCCCCCTGCACTCGAATCTTCGGTGTCCCTCTGCTTCCTGAATGCCTTGCTGAAGTACTTACTACTGCTGGTGTTCCTCTTCTCCCCTAGAGTGTGAATACTGATCAATGAGAACTTTCTTTCAGATAATATTCCAACTCTGCCAAATTTAACTCCACTTTTCATCACTATTGACCCAGAAAGGGACACGAAAGAAGCCATCGCAAATTATGTGAAAGGTATGTCTTATTAATAATATTTACATCTCAGGGCACCTGGGTGGATCAGTCAGTTAAGCATCCAACCCTCAACTTCAGCTCAGGTCATGATCTTAGGTCCTGGGATTGAGCCCTGCGTCAGGCTCTCTGCTCAGCGGGGAGTCTGCTGGAGATTCTCTCTACCTCTGCACCCCCCCCACCCGCTCACACACATGCTTTCTCTCTCTCTCTCAAATAAATAAATAAAATACTAAAAGAATAATAATACTTTACATTTGTTTAAGCTTTTAGAGTTTTTGAAAGATCAACTCATTTGACCTTACATGCCTTGTAAAATAGGACAGATGATACTATCATCAGGTTTAGAGAAGATGAAAAGGTGAGGCTCAGTTGTGACTTTGGCCGATAAGCAAATAAACAAGTTTCTCAATTCCCAATGCACAGCTCTGTTTATTTTGTCACAGGAAAGACTGAACTTGGCCTTCATATATCAACAAAGCTGACAGAACGTTGAGTAGAGAGGACACATTGCTTCCAATTCCAGTTCTGTACCTCATTCTCTCTGTAAAATTAGGACAAACATAAATCCTGGGAGTGTGTAGATTGGGAGATTAGAGACTCTATGCAGTTTGAGGTCCTAACACATTTTATAAATCCAGAACATATATTATGACAGAGACACATGTATAACTTTTCATGGGAAAGTTGAAACATCTCCACGTGCAAGTTAAAACCTATGAGAAGGCATTTTTACAGACTAAGTTATGGTAGAATTAAAGATGAATGCTTAGGTCCTTAGGAGCTTGGGCAAGTTGCAGAATTTCTCGGGACTCAGGTTTCCTCCGCTGAAAAATGATGACAATAAAAATCTGTTTTGTTGTTATAGGAGTGACGGGAACGTGGGTGCTGAAAAATCAGGAATTGGAATTTTAATTTTAATTATGGTGAAATTGGTTTAGACTACTGGTCAAAGGGACCGATGAATAGTTTTACATTTAATTTTACATATGATACATTGTAACGCATATCGTGTAAAGCTTTGAGGTTATTTAAAGGTGTTTTGTGAAGGCCCTGCTGTATCTTATGTTATTTAACATATTTACTGAGATATAATTGACATACACTTAATACGTACATATATAAAGTCTACAGTTTGTTACCTTTAGTCATATGTCTGCACTTGTGAAATCATCAGGCAAAACTGGACGTTCCCGTCACCCCCAGCGGTTTCCTTGCACCTTGCTCCTCCCTCACTAGCTGTTCGCTGGTCGCTCATCATGGATTTGCGATGCTTCTCCCTAATGACCCTTGATAGTAAGCATCTGGGACGCCTGGGTGGCACAGTTGGTGAAAGTATCCAATCTTGGTTTCAGCCCAGGCCTGATCTTGGGGTCATGAGATCAAGCCCTGTGTCAGGCTCCACGCTCGGTAGGGGCTGCTTGGGATTCTCTTTCCGTCTCCCACTGCCCCCCCGCACTCGCTCGTTCTCTCAAATAAATCTTCAGAAAAAAAAAATATTAGGGGCGCCTGGGTGGCTCAATCGGTTAAGCATCTGCCTTCAGCGCAGGTCATGCCCAGGGTCGTGGGATCAAGCCCCGCATTGGGCTCCCTGCTCAGCGGAGAGCCTGCTTCTCCCTCTGCCTCTACCTGCCGCTCTCCCTACTTGTGCTCTCCCTCTAGGTCTCTGTCAAATAAATAAAGTCTTTAAAAATAAAAAAATATTAAGCATCTTTTCGTGTTCTTACCACCTGTATGTCTTCTTTGGTGAAGTGTCTTTTCATATCTTTCGCTCATTTCTATGGGGCTGTTCGTTTTACTTGTATTTGTTTATCACGTATATTCCCAATATGAGTCTTTTATCGGGTGTATGATTCACAGATATTTTCTCCCAGTCTGTGGCTTGTCATTTCAGTCTCTCAATGTGGTTTGAAGAGCAGTTTTGTTTTTGTTTTTTTTGTTTTTTAAAGATTTTATTTATTTATTTGACAGAGACACAGCAAGAGAGAGAACACAAGCAGGGGGAGTGGGAGAGGGAGAAGCAGGCTTCCCGCGGAGCAGGGAGCCAGACGCGGGGCTCGATCCCAGGACCCTGGGATCATGACCTGAGCCGAAGGCAGACGCTAACGACTGAGCCACCCAGGCGCCCCAAGCAGTTTTCAGTTTTGATGAAATCCAGTTTATTAGCATATTATTATATAGATAAATCTTTTGGTTTCATTTGTAAGAAATCTTTGCCCAGCCAAAGGTTAGAAAGGTTTATTTTTTCTTGAAGTTTTAGAGTTTTTATTAGATATTTAAGGTGAATTTATGTTCACAGTGCGCAGGTTTAGCAGGAATTTGAACAATGACAGTTATTTGCTAAAGCAGGTGTGACTCATTGGGTGACAAACGATCTCTAGTGTAAGTGTGTTATGTTGTCACCGGTTTGTTACTGCAGGTTAACCAAATCCTAAATATCCCCAGATGAGGGGAGATGTGAGTTCTCATAACTGAAATGCAAAAACTATACAGTAATATTCTTCACCGGCACATACATACATCTGTTTAAGCTCTTAGAGTTTTTGAAAGATCCGTTCTTTCAAAATTCTTTACTAGTTGAATTGGAACCGGGGGGGGGGGATTTAAAAATATTGAAGTTCATGTGTAGAAAATTACTGCAATTTCAACAATTTTTTAAAAAAGGTTTGGACAGGCAACTAATAATGTAGACTTCATTCACTTTTCTCTCAGAATGGAAAAGAAAAACAAGCCATCCTGCTTTTTTCAGTATCTGAACAGTTTTTCAATTCAGAATGAATGAGAAATGACAGTAGGTTTTTTTTCTCTACCTTTGGAAGAAGGTCGTGCTGTTAGGTGTTGGACTGTCATCTCTGTAGTCTGATGAATCCAGGTGTTTTAAGTGACTTCTACCAGCTCACTCCCATGAATGCCAAAAACCGAGCAGCAGATGCACGCAGTGAGATTGTTTGCTGGAAAATGAGATACAGCTGTTGGCGTGGGATGACTGAATTGTGAAGGAAACCTTTTTTTCAGGACACAGTGAAAAACTGTACTGCTTAATTCATGACAATATCTGTCTATAAACGTCACGTCTCAGAAGTATATCTAAGTATTTAAAAGCAACTAAATTAACAAAAAATGTGATTTAAATAATTAGAATCCATTCCCTTCAGATCTTTACAAGATTATTTTGAAAGAATCTGACTTACATGTTTACAAAGAACCAGCTTTGGGTTTCGTGCTTTTCCTCTACTGATTTCCTGTTTTCAGTTTCATTGATTTCTGCTCTGATTCCTTTCTTCTGTTCACTTTGGATTTAATTTGCTCTTCTTTCTCTAGCTTCCTGAGGGGGATAATTAGAGTCCCGATTTTAGGTCTCTTCTCCGGTGTACGAGTTCAGTGCCACAAATGTCCCTCAAAGCACTGCTTTGGCTGCATCCCACAAATTTCGATAAGTTGTGTTTTCATTTTCACTTAGTTCAAGATACTTTTCAGTTTCTCTTGAGATTTCTTCTTTGACCCATGTATTATTCAGAAGTGTGTTTCATCTCCATGTGTCTTGGGATTTTCCACTTATCTTTCCGTTACTGACTTCTCTTTTAACTCCACTGTGGTTTGAGAGCATGTCATACGGTTTCTGTTCTTTTAATCTGTTGGGGTGCATTTGATGGCCCAGAACGTGGCCTGTCTTGGTGAATGTGACTTCTTTATTATGGAGGAGAATTTGCATGTGTTCTGGGTGCATTTCTTTTCCTGTGAATCAGGAGGGAGTGTTCAGGGACCCCCAGAAGACAGGGGTAGTAGACCTGCCTTATAACTGACGCTGGCTTTTAAAGTCGAGGTGGGGGGGGGTTCGCTTGCTGCTCATTTTTCACTGCGTTTCTCATTTTTTATTCAGAATTTTCTCCCAAACTGGTTGGCCTGACTGGCAGCAAAGAAGAGATTGATCGAGTGGCCCGAGCATACAGGGTGTATTACAGCCCTGGCCCCAAGGACGATGATGAGGACTACATAGTAAGTAAATGCTCGGGTGTCACCCAGAGGCTGGCACTCAGGCCCCGCACGGTCCTGCAGCTCGAACGACTGGCTTCAGAAATGAAAGAAAGGGGCGCCTGGGTGGCTCAGTCAGTTACATGTCTGCCTTCCGCTCAGGTCATGATCCCAGGGTCCCGGGATCGAGCCCCGCGTCAGGCTCCCTGCTCAGCGGGGAGTCTGCTTCTCCCTCTGCCCCTCCCCCTGCTTGTGCTCTCTCTCTCACTGTGTCTCTCTCTGTCAAATAAATAAAATCTTTAAAAAAAAAAAATGAAAGAAAGGCTGAAATCAGTACAAATTCCTCAGAAATTGGGGATATTTGAAAGGACAATAGAAGTATCACTTTTTTAAGAATGCTGGTCTAGTGTATATTCACTGTTCTCATAACTGCATCGCGTGTTTTCCGTCTTAGTGGCCCATAAAATTATGGGAAAATACACAGTGAGTGATATTTTAGGTTGAGTAGAACGTGATGCTTGGATACCACATTGGAAATAGAAGCCATCATTTGGGGGCAATGCTTCTTTGAATTCCAAACATTGTACGGGTTCTCCCTGTGTGCCCAGGGAAGAGCGTAAGAAGCGGTGCGAGGCCCTGGGGAAGTGCATTTTTGGAATGCATCGGAGTTCTGCAAAGCAAGAGAAAAGAGCGAAAGCCACGAGAAGCTAGACTTTCTGTAAGGCTTATTTTCCTAGGAACTATATGCTTTGCACAATCACGTGTTTATATTTGCTTCCTGTTGTTGAAGGGTAGACAGCGGGTAGCGTTGTGCTACCCCCCCCCCCCCCGTGCCCTGGCTTCTCTGTAACATTGGTTGAGCAAAGCGATTAGTCATAAGAGTCCATCTACAAACTGTAGTTTGGGTCGGAGCTCTCTCAGATCAGTGCCCAACCATACCATCAGGTGGCCTTCGTGTTATGTAAAATACTTGGGAACATCGGGTTGTGTGGTCCGCGTTGACTGGTTTGTCCTGACTCAGCAAGAACACATCATTTTCACCGTGTCTGCCTGTAACCAGTAGCTACGTGCCCTGCAGATCATAAACATAAACGTGCCTTTGGGCGCTGAGATTTGTATTCAGTCATAAGGTAGTCCTGCAAGGAATCCAGAATGTGAATGGTAACTTTTTTTCATTTTAAAAATTAGAATACAGATAGGTTTGTCTTTTTTTTTTTTTTTTTTTAGATTTTTATTTATTTATTTGAGAGAGAGGGAGTCCACGCGTGAGCCCTGGGGAGGGGCAGAGAGAGAGAGAGAAGTAAAGCAGACTCCCCGCTGAGCAGGGAGCCTGACCCGGGGCTCTATTCCAGGACCAGGAGATCATGACCTGAGCCGAAGGCAGACGTTTACCCAACTGAACCACCAGGTGTCCCTGCAGATAAAATATTTAAGTCTCATAGAGACTTCTTGGACCCTCTGGAATTCATGCCAGACCCCATTTTGAGACATACTAGTCTACTGCCCTAAGAATTTGACCTTTTGATCAGAACCAGTGAGTTGTACGTCTGAAGCTAATATAACGCTGGGTATTATTAACTGCACTGGAATTAAAAGTAACAACAACAAAAGAACCAGTGAGGTTGTCGCTATACATTTCCTAAATCAACCAGTAGGGGGAGGCGCTCTCCAGCTTGTGAGGTGTTTCATTGGTACGCCTTCTGTGCCTTGAGGCCACAGATCTTCATCCACAAAATGGTATGGGAAGCTTCTGTCGAGACTTAAGGGCCTGCAGGGAGTGAGGGAGTGTCTTAAAGGCTGGGATGTAACGGAGTGAGGTTTCCTTAATCTCAGGAGCCACAGAAGGGAAGCTTCTGACTTTTCGAGCGCCCGTGGAGTCTTCAGACAGATAGTACGTGTAAAGTGGGCATGCCAGACACTTAGGATTCCGTCGGAAGCTAGGCATGTACATCACTGCTCTATATATATGATATTACCTTAGTCTCTGTTACGTAAGAAGAGTTTTTGAAAAACACTACAACTTGGGGCACCTGGGTGGCTCAGTCCATTAAGCATTCGACTCTTGATTTTGGCTCAGGTCACGGTCTCAGGGTCGTGAGATGAAGCCCTGCGTCAGGCTCTGTGCTCAGCGGGGAGTCTGCTTGAGATTCTCTCTCCCTCTACCTCTGACCCCGCCATGCTCTCTCTCTCTAAAAAAAAAAATAAGAAAGAAAAACACTACAACAGGCTTTCAAACCAAGAAAAGATGTTCAGTTCCACTCAAAATGAAAGAATGGGAATTATACAGTGTAATGCCACTTTCTGTTAGATCAGCAGAGGTCAAAAGTTTGAAATATTGTTGAAATCTAGTTTGGGAAAAGAGGGAATACACTGTTGGAGTGAATTTGGAAGAACAGGCACCCACCCTGCGTGGATGATAGGAATTTAAGTGATACACCCTCTTCGGGGGGCAGTTTGTCACATTTAAAGTGGAATACCTTTTACTTCAGAGATTCTGCTTTGGGGAGTTTTTCTACACCTGTACCCTACAGCACTGTTCTTAGAGAAGACAGGAAACCAAGCAACCGATTTTTTAAAGGCTACTGTGTACGTACTCCAAATGGTGTCCAATCCCTTGTCAAATGAGAAAGCAGCTACAGGGCGTTGTTACTCCCACACAGAAGGAAGTAGTGCCGGTGGTGAAAGAAGTAGACACACAGTAATAAATGCAGGCAGTTTCCCTGGAAGCATCCCGAAGGAACTGGTTACAGTGGTTCCCTCTGAGCACAACGGAGGGACTCTGGGCATCTGGAACAAGTGGCAAATTTCTGCTGCCTACATTTACTGTATATCCGCATTTTTATGTGCACATGTTACCTTTTCAGAACATAATGTGTCCAGGAAACTCACCCGTCGGAAAAGCCGCAGAGATTGTGGCAACGAGCTGGTAGAAGGAGTGGGCTGGGAAAGTGGACAGACCCGGGTGTAAGCTTAGGTCTGGCACTTTCTAATGATTCAACTGAACTCTCGAGCCCTTTGGATCGTTTGTGGGGGAGGAGGATACCTGGCTCCGGGACGAAGGCCGCGTGAGAAAGAGCGTGTCAGTCCACGCCAGCTTCCTTTCTCTATCCTAGGAACGGCTCGCGCTTTAAAGCGCTCTGTGTTAGAGACACACGGCGATTCACTCTGCCCACAAGCCACTGAACGTCGAGACGTGACCGTGACCAGTTTGGCAGATGCGGGTGGAACAATATTTTCACTCCATATTAGAAAGTGACTTACATTAAGCACACTCGTAAGAGGAACCTACTGGAATTCTAGTCTTTTAAGGGAGAGAGAGAATAGAGTGGGAAAAAGGGAGAAGTATGGAGAAAGATGGAGGCCGGAGACTCTACTGTGACTGTCGGATGTGCGGAGAAGCGCAGCTCCCCTGTCCTCCGTGTCCTCCAGCAGTAGGTTATTCCAAGACATGAAATCAGCAGCTGTTTGAGCTCTTGGCGTACATTCCTTCCTTATGTGCACACGCAAGTGGCTCTTTCCATTTGCTCTCTCCTTGTGAGTGTATAAAGAAGTAATAACCTCACAGACCTCTAATGTGTAGCGGGTACCTTTGGGGATGGCTCCAGTTTGGTGTGTGTGATCGGATTTCTGTCTGTCTTTTTGTCTTGCCAAATAGCAACCAAGCCTGCAATAAATTCCAAGGACTCTAGGCGCCAAGTCTTCTGCTCATTTAAACTGGGATTTGGTGGAGGCATATAAATAAAAAAATTGATGACTAATCTAAGCCTAAGTTAGAGCTAGGAATGTTTTCAGAGCTTTGCCTGGAAAACAGATAATAAATTGAAGGTGACTCCTTGGAGGTGTAGCATTTCCGGCTCCTAAGGAGTTACCAGGTCATTTGCTTCTGATAGGGTCATTCAGCGTAGTAGATACAAATTTCCTAGCAGGGGGAACCCTTGTTTTCATGTTTCTGTTTGCATCCCTGATAATCAGGACTAAATATTGTGCTGAAATTTATAAATTACGTACCTACAGAAGTGCTGGGTATTCTGGATTCTCCTAAAAGGTGGTAGGCAGCATTTAGGAACAATGAGGAATAATATATACACACACACACATTTATGCACATATTTCTTCCTAAAGCAGTACTCATTTGTTGGAAGTAGATTCTCAGAGATTGTGTGGACGCGCCTGTCATGGATGGAACCACCAGAATTCCAAATTCTACCTGCTGTTTAAAGCAGTAGTCAGTGCGGAGTTCTGGAACACACAAGATTTTAGATATTTGTCACCATGAATTTATTACAATAGGCTTAGACCCATCCTGTAAATGACAGCTATTACAAAGGCTGTTTAAGCATTAATGTGAAGTTTTCTCCTGCGATATTTACTCGGTAGAATAAGCAGCGTCTTTCAGTAATATTTTTGTCCTTTCTCTCCCTCCTCCCCCCTATCTCTGCAGGTGGATCACACAATAATCATGTACTTGATTGGACCAGATGGTCAATTCCTAGATTATTTTGGCCAGAACAAGAAGAATGCAGAAATTGCAGGTTCGATTGCCGCGCACATGAGGGAACACAGGACGAAGGGCTAGCCAGAGCCACAGTGCCGGCCGCGTGTTCTCTTGCGGAAGAGGAAGAAAGCTTTGTCTCCCATAGGAGCCAAGATACACCTATACACACACACACACACACACACACACGCACGCACGCAACCTACAGAATGGCCTTCGCACCCCAAGAGCATCTTGTCTACTATCTGAGAGCGGTCCAACCCAAACCATGGACAGGGCATGTTACCCTTGGGTTTCGCCAAGATAGTTCTTGGAACTGTAAAGATTGCCATGGAACAGTCACTTGAGCCCAGAGGACCAAGTTAGCATGAGGCCGGTAGAGGGGACGTCGGGAAGCAGGAAAGGCACAGCAGGTGCATTTCCCCACGTCAGCAGGGCCCTCGGATCAGCGTTGCTGCCCCTCTGGTGCCCTGGACCCTTGTCCACAGTGTGGGACTGAATTTCCAGGAAGAGTGAAATTTCCATAGTGCCCTTGATTTTCCTCTTCGAGTTCGTGGTGGCTGCTAACAGTCAAATCAGGCTCTTGGACGTTTGTGGTTAATCTGTAGACCTGAAAGCGTGTCTGTAGTCCTGCGGGTTAGCAGATCTCACGCTCTGGTTTGCGTTGTGTTCCCCTGGCAGTACCTGCTGAGTTTACTAATGAGGAAATCTATTGCTAGGTCAGTTTCTCTAGGAATCTTTTATGTGATTTTTATTTAAATGTGCGGGGTTTTCAGTGACCTACCAAATGGAGGAAGGTCATCTTGGTCATGGCTGTAACACAGGGTACTTGTCTGCCTGGACTGGGTTGCAGTGGGTGTGAAATAAAGGTGTGTTGAGTTTTGCAAGCATGACTTTTCTTACGGGTGAATCGTGGGTGCGCGCGTGGCAGCACACAGCTCTCGGAGCAGAGACCCACGGCCTCGGGGGGCCTCTTGGGTGCTTGTTAAAGCCCCGGTTCCCGACCAGAGCTGGATTCACGGGGTCCGGGGTGGGATGTGGACCCCTGCGCTCGTAAGCAACCTGCAAGTGGCCAGGTGTTGGCAGCCTGGGGACCGTGCCTGGTGAGACTTCTGTGGGGAAGCAAGGCTTTGATCTGGGCAGGTGAAAACGTGACCAGCTTTTGGTGTGACCGTCAGAGTGCTGGGCACACAGCCATCCAGGAAAATGACTGTCGAGTGGTGGGACGAATCTTCCGTTTGTGAATTCAGCTTCCCCGGGCGTCTGGGCTTGACTGTCCCTTTCTTCCCCCTTAAGCTGCTCCCCAGGGCAGTTCTGGAAGGTCTTCAGTGACTCCTAACACATGTAGGTACCCTTTCTGGTCAGGTGACAGGTCCTTACACAGCACTTGGGTTTCACATGCACGTGAGCCAGGCCTGTCTTGGTTCTTTAAACTCTCGCTCATTACATTAAACCTACTAAAAATACGACGAAGTACGCGAAAAAGAAAAACCGTAAGCCGCAGCGGTTCTGTGGGCTGTATTGTGTCCCCCCAGGATTCGAATGGTGAAGTGCTGGCCCCCAGCACCTCAGAGGGTGTTGGTATTGGGGGCAGAGGGTCTTTACAGAGGTCACAGTGTAAATGAGGCCGTGAGTGTGGGCCCCCAGCCGGTGTGACCGGCGACCCTGAAGAAGAGGAAACCCCAGCTCCACGAGAAGCACCTCCGCCGACCCCTTGCTCTCAGGCTCAGAGGCTCCAGCGCCGTGGGAAGATGGGTGTCTGTTTAAGCCCCCGGTGTGTGGGGCTCCCTAAGGGGCAGGCTCCCTGAGAGAGAACCACAGATTGAGTTTATGGCAAGTCCAGGCTGGAACGCCTTTGCTAGGAACCTTGTCAAGGGGGCGAGGGACTTCACCAAAGGGCCAGTCTCGTGTGACACAAAAGGAACTAAATAGGGGCGCCGGGGGTGGGGGTTGCTCTGTCAGTTGAGCGTCTCTGACTCTTGATCCTAGCTCAGGTCTTGCTCTCAGGATTATGAGTTCAAGGGCGCCTGGGTGGCTCAGTTGGTTAAGTGACTGCCTTCAGCTCAGGTCATGATCCTGGAGTCCCGGGATCGAGTCCCGCATAGGGCTCCCTGCTCGGCAGGGAGTCTGCTTCTCCCTCGGACCCTCTTCCCTCTCGTGCTCTCTATCTCTCATTCTCTCTCTCTCAAATAAATAAATAAAATCTTTAAAAAAAAAAAAAGGATTGTGAGTTCAAGCCCCAAATTGGGCTCCACCCTGGGTGTGGAGCTTACTTTAAAAAGAAAAAGAAAAAAAAAGCTACTAAATATCTAAAATGCCAGACGTCAGAAAAGAGGGTCTGTTTTACGCCCCGGAACATTTGTGCGGATCACTTTGCCGACGGCTTGCTCCCATCAGTTCTCATTCTCAGCTGTCCCAGGTTAGAGCTGGCGTCATGATCCAGAAAGGGACCAGCAGCTCTTGAAGAAACATACTTGCCCCTCATTCCAGTGTCAAGTTTAAAGGCTTAGAATCAGGATGTTAGCAGCGGGGGAAAGGTCCTCGGAGATGAGGTCCAAATCTCTTTTTACTCATGAGGGGACAGTCCCTGGGTTCTGAACCTAGATTAGAACTCGGGTCCCCATGTCCGGTCAAGCGCCAGTGTGTTCCCTGCCATGGGGGGGGTGGCTTAAAGTGACCCTTGGAATCCAACCAAACCTGGGGGCGCTGTGTGCTGGGCAGGCAGCCTTTCAATCATGAATTTGGGGAAATCAGAATCCAAGGCTGCCTTACAACAAAGTATCACTTGTAGATCTTTACCTGGGTGACAGAGTACTCATGCTGGACTCTTCATAGAGTTAATATTTTTAGAAACGGCCATTGTTTATCTGAGAATTCTAAGAGTCCAGCCCATGCGGGAGGCTGGGAAGTATTTAATGCATCTGGCTGTCCACGAGGCGGCCCATCACCTGAGGTCTAGACGCTGACTCACTGAACCACCCATTCGGTCCATCTGCAGTAAAACACCCATGAGTTGGGAGGCTGACGTGAACCCAGTAAGGTGATTTGAAGTCGAAAATGTATCTGTACTGAGATATTTTTAAATATTTCTTACTGCTTTTAAATGTGTGAGTAAAAAATGAAACTTCTCAAATCATCCATGATCCCTCAAATAATATCTTTCTTAAAAATTTTTAGTACAATTAAATTTAAATTTAATTCTCTGCATCTGTGTGTGAGAGAGAGCTACCTTTAAAACAGCAGTCACCCATGCAGACATTTTTATTCCTTAACACCTCTAGAACTTAGGAGGTCATCATTTGCTATTCATTTTTAAAAGGTATTTTAAAGGTGATTGATTCTTCCACAATTTCAGTATATCTTCAGTAAAGAAAATTTAGAATATACAGGGTGCCTGGGTGGCTCAGTTGGTTAAGCGACTGCCTTCGGCTCAGGTCATGATCCTGGAGTCCCGGGATCGAGTCCCGCATCGGGCTCCCGGCTCAGCGGGGAGTCTGCTTCTCCCTCTGACCCTCCCCCCTCTCATGTGCTCTCTCTCTCTCTCTCTCTCTCTCATTCTCTCTCTCAAATAAATAAATAAAATCTTAAAAAAAAAAAGAAAATTTGGAATATACAGAAAAGTTGAAGTAATTTTAAAATCACCATTATTCCAATACCAGGAAACAATATTGGGATGCACTTCCCTTGAATCATCAACATGTTAAAATCTCTTCTTATGCCAGAAACTCACGAGTATACCTCTTTATAAAGTGAGGCAGGACACTGCAGGCTCCATCCCCTCTTCCCCATGGCTCCCTGCCCCGCCCCCCACAAGCACCTGCAGCTTAGCGTTGGGTGGGCATCCTCCCAGAGCCCCGAGGGTCCAGTCGGGCTCAAGTTACAAACTCGAAGCTAAACGTGTTACTACTGTGACTCGCACAGATGTTGCCCGGTTTTTATATGACTGGTAATTGTTATTTTTTTGTTATATGATTGCGTATTGGTTTTATTATTGAGTTTGGTAAGTATTGAAACTAGCCCAGTATTCCTGCCAAGATTATGTGGTGGATTAGCCAGAGAAAAAATAGTTTTCAGGGTGATCTTCACTTGTCTTCTCAGTGCTCCCCTGACCCCCATCTCACGAGCGAGCGCACACACACACACACAATTGTCTGCCTTCAGCTCTGGTCACGATCCCAGGGTCCTGGGATTGAGTCCCACATCGGGCTCCCTGCTCAGCACGGAGCCTGCATCTCCCTCTACTTGCTGCTCCCCCTGCTTGTGCTTTTGCTCGCTCTCTCTGTCAAATAAATAAAATCTTAAAAAAAAAAAAAAATACAATGCAAGCTAAATTAACCCTTCCAAGCATCTTCTCTTGCCCGTGGCCTGGGGATACCACCAGCAGGGCCGCCAGGCGGGTCCCCTCCGCAAACCTGTGCAGAACACCAGCACATGCCTAGCAGGTGAGGGCTGCCATTATTTTGGTCTCGGTGCGGGTGCCGATTTGGGGCTTGACAGATGGTGTGGACAAGTGGGTTCGGTTATAAGTGCTTCCTGCCCTCCCTCGGTCACCGTTCCGCTTCAGCCCGCCTGGGGGGATGCTGACTCCTGAAAGTCTCCCTCCCATTCGGCCCCCCACGCCCATGCCGACACACACCTAAGCCCGGAACTGGAGTCATGTTGCCTTCATGAACCGTTCACACCTGCTTGGTTAAATGGCATTCGTATTTAGAGACAAGGTTCTTGGAAAAACCGTAAAGTTCGAACCAGAAACCTGGAGCATTTGGTCTTGACACAGGAACACCAGGGCACGGTCATATGGTAAGAGCCGGCAGCCCATTGGGGTTCTTGCTCAAGGCACAGAGGCCCCATGAAGCCCCCTTATCTTTAGTGAGGCAGACAGACTATAAACAAATAGGTTCAATGGCATCAGAGAGTAGTAAGTGCTATGAAGAAACCAAGGTCTGGGGAGTGACAGGGAGGATGGGCATTAATTGGTCATGGGAGGGTCCTTTGGGGGGGTGACCATCTGAAACCGTGTGAGTGAGCCATGTGAGTGTCTTGGGGGTCGGGGGGGTCTTCCAGGACCAGGGCCGTGACCCTAGTAAGAGCAGCAAGGAGGCCAACGCCACAGCAGCCTGCTGAGTCCGGGAGGACGGGACAGAGACGCTGAGGAAGGGGCTGGGGGTCACATGCTGGGCAGGGCCAGGACTCTGGCTCT